TGCGTTCTCCAAAATGAACTCAATAAAAACACACTGGGGGAACAGGGGAACCGACTGTCCAACCAGTCTTTGGAGGTCTGTCAGTGCATAAGTCTGACAGCGGCCAAGCCTGATTTGAAAAAGTTGATGTCAGAGAGGAAATGTAACTTTAGCCATTGATTAAGCGCTGGGAGTAGCCCGTTTCAGCATTGTGATTTGAAATCAAGCCCATTTAATGTTTAATTTGATGTGCGAACATTATTTGTGACCTGTTTTGTTCTGGTACCTGGTTATTATCATGCTATTTTAAGTTGTGCCAGATTGTTTTTCCTCTTTTTTCTAATTCCTGAGGAGTCTGCTAATTTCAAACATGTTGTTGAGACCTAGAAATAATAATAGAAAAAAATGTTAAGGACATGAGGAAAAGTTATGCGTTCCGGTTGTTTTCTTCAAACCTGTTTGAAACAATAAATCCTTAACGCCGCATAGTCTGTCCTCAATTCAGAGTGTAGCCTAAATATAGTCCAATAGTGGTTATTCTGACAAGAGACTCAGTTGTTCTTATTTTTAGTTGCTTTTATAGTGAGCCTCACAGTTTTGCAATCCAGTCGCGGGCTGGATTGAACAGCTCAGCGGGGCGGATCTGGCCCACCAGTTGATGATCAGTGCTCTAAACTGATGATATTAACAACGACTAAACAACTATTGGTGTTTAATGGCGGCTTTATTTGTAACAGATGCATGAGAGAAGATCAGTGCTTCAGCTCTATCTTGTGGAAATTAAGAGGGTCTGCATTGATACTGAATTAAATCAAGTGAACCGTGCCTGAGCCCGATTCAGAGCACTCACACTTCTCAAACGACCTGGGAGACCGGCCTGGGCACGGTTGGGATAGCATAGTGAAAGAACGCCCTTAGGTAACACAACCACAGAGCAAGCTACAAAAGTATTTCAAAGTAGATAACTGAAAATACCCAGTTTCTGTTGTTTCAGCAGTTTGCTGCAGAGACTACGGATCAGATTGGTTTGATAAAACAGGGATCGATCCGAGAAGTGTTGGCAAATCCACACTCTACAGAGCATACACAGGTAATAAAGAGAAAATACATTAGTAGAAATTAATATTTGTGTTGAGGCAGGAGTTTATGAAGTGTGATTAGGCTCAATAAACGCAATCCGTAGATTTGCAAGGTCCACAAGATCAAAAAACATGTTCTGTAAATGCTTGTAAAATTTTCAAGGAGGTTGTGAAGGCTAGTGCCTAACTGCATTACAGTCAAAGTATCAATACACAACAATCACTGAACCGCATCTGTGAAAAAGGCGCAGTGAAAAGTCTGACATGTCCTTTAGCAGATGAGCATCATTACTGTCAATTTCTGTCCACATGCTTCTGCTGGATGAGTGTGAGGCTCCAAACAACCTTATCCTGCAGAGCAAAGACAGACGAAAAGCCTTGAATATCTTTCTATATGTGATGGCTTCCACGAGAAGCAAAGCACTGCAGATTCACACACTACACTGACTAACAAAACATCCCAAAAGTAGATTGGATTTTTTTTTCTATCACACATTTTACAATCAAGGAACAAGAACAAGCTTAGATTTGCACTTTTTGCAAAACATTACACACAGTGATTTGCAAAACACTAAACACACTTACATGCAGTTAATATTAAACATGTCAAGCTTTCAACTGAACACACTCATGAAGTAACTGGTTAAACACAGCCGTCGTGTGCGCACACACACTGTGGCATGACTGTTGACACACCATTCAAGTGTAAGCACAAAAAAATAACCAGATGGTTAAGTTGAGCTATCTTCAATAAAAATGGAAGGCGATGTCGCAGTAAGAGGAAGAAGTAGAGCTGGTGGAGGACGTGGATAAAGAAGACCGGATTAAATTTGTCAGATGTGATTCAGGCAACCTTGATTGACCATATTGTAAACCACAAACTGACATTTGTAATCCCGGACCACACAAACAGTCTTATTGATTATTATTGAGTAGTTGTGTAACGGATCATGAATCTCACGGCTCTAAACACACACTACAGTTTTTGAGTCATGGATCGGACCATTTTTAGATCAGCAGAAAAGGGAGACAAATGTCATTCGCTTTCCATTTATTACAAAAACATTACTGCAAGAAACTTTTGGTTTTAACAAACATGCAAAATGTAACAATAAAAAAAAAAAAAAAACAGCTGAATGAAAAAAAGTTCAATAGTCAATACTGGGGAAAGTGATCTTTGCTATTGTTGCTGATTATTAGGGCCAGACAGAATCTGTTAACATGTTTTTGCTATTTCTGCAGATAATTTTGTTAAAAAAATAAATAAATAAACAATATGTGGATTTATGCGTAATTATTTTAGGAGTAGTATTTCCAGTCTGAACAAAGCTTTACACTGTGTGAAATATTGCAGAAATCTGAGTGTGAGCAGAAATAAAACATTTGTATCTGCATAATGAGCAGAGATGCACACTTGATTCCAGTGAGCACTGCAACATTCAGACAACTTAATGCCCTTCTGCTGCTGTTAAACAAGCTCAAATATTCACTTTTGCAATAAGTCAGCTAAAAACTATAAAAAACAATTATACATCTATAAGCAACAGCTGACAAAATAAAAAGGGTTTGTCATGAAACTTTTATTAAGTTAAACTCCTCTCTTCTTCTTAAGAGAAACCTGTGGCACAGATGGATGAACTTGATAGAAACAGAATCAGTAATGCTGCATTTCCCCATGCAATCTAAGTCAGTCAGTAAGAGTGATTTTCCCTCTGTGGTTCAGTTCTGTAAGATATGCTTCATGTCCACAAGGAGGAGCTGGAAAATGAGTCGTTTTAAAATAGACTTTACGAGTCTGCAAATATCATAACATGAAATAAATTATTGATTCTGAACTTAAATAATAAAAATAACCTTGATCATATATATATATATATAAATGATCAAGGTTATTTTTATTATTTAAGTTATAATAAAACTTATAAGTTTAAATTATATATATATATATATATATAATTTATAAATTTAAAGCATAGACAAACAGTAAAATAGTATTGCAAGACCTCTTGTCTCTTCTAATATTTATTTTTCGGCCATGTGATATCTATATGCCTACTACAGTTCAACATATTGGACATTTAATTTTCTCTTACCCCTTCAGTTGAGAAGCTGATCATCCGTTAGATGCCATGTTTATCTGCTGCTCGAGACCATTTAAAGAAGATCACAGACGTGATTTAATATATATAAAACTAAAAACGCATCCCGTCTCCAACGACACACTTCTAGTTTGTTTTCATGCATTAAAACTACTGACACTGATTCACTTCCGCTCCACTAGGCGGCGTCTGCGGCTTTGACGTTCAGCGTGACTGTGACACCTTTAGAGCCTCATCAACAACATGACACTGATGACAGCCGCCTCGACACGACTGATTATTCATGTTTTAAGACCGTTAAAGTACAGTTACTGCAGATGACAGCTTATTTACAGACTCACTCAACAGCATGTATGTCAGCCATAACGTTAATAACAAACTACACGCTGTGTTGTCAAGCATCCAGGATGTCACTCTGATCACCTGTAAGTATCCACATTTAACTAGAGATTTTCCTCTTTTAAAGTCGTTAGTGCTCATTATATATGTGTTATTTTATATATTATGGCATATATCAGTGTTAAGATGTATTTAAATCATTGTTGGCATGTAGAATAGGTGTTTTCATTTGTTTGCTGGAGTATGGTGATGCTGCTCTTGTCATTCTCTGTTCAAATATAATTTTAACTCTGGAGAAAAAGATAGTATGTAATGAAATTATTGTGTATGAAGGCAGTCTCACCTCTATAAGGGTTTAACAAACACTTTGTTTACATGTTGCTTTCTTGATGAACTCCTGTTATTGTCATGTAAATTTAGGATGGAGATTCTCCTAAAGCTTATAATGTAGAACAAATCTAGAACAAACTAACCTAAAGTAGTGTTTTTGAGCATGTTACATGAACATGTAAATTGAACTTTGCTATTAAGTGTTTTTTATTTTATTTATTTGTGTCTTTCCTTACAGAATGAAGGGTGTGTTTTGTCCAGCAGAAGCATGTGGTCAGACATTGACTGTAATGATGGACATCTGCTGAGTGACAGGTAATGCATAAGTATTTGTCTGTAAGATTAACATTGTTATTTGACAAACAGAGATACGCTGCTAACACAAAGTGCACAAAGCGGATGCAAAATAACAATTCTAGCATTAAAGTTAAAAACTTTCAACAAATTTTAAAAGTTACATGGCTTGATTTAAATCATCTTTTGTATGGGGGAAGTGCAAACGCTTGAGATAATGCACATCTAGGCAGTTCCTAATGCTCAGTCTTTTTTCTGTACCTTTTCCTAATTGAAGAGTTTTGTAATGTATTAAATTTAAAAATATTATGATTGACACTATAATAGTGAAGTGCAATGATTTCTGCTGTATTTGTTTCACTCTGTAGTTTAGGTAGTCTTTCACTTGTGTCTTTGCACCGTGTCAGGCTGTGTAATGTGCTCTAACTTCAGTTTTATTTGTTTCTTTATGCAGAATTAATGTTGAACAGTTTATAGTGTGATTTCTGGAGCAACACGAGATCCATTTCCCCATTCTCTGTTTATTCTGCCACTGCTGGTGAGTCTATTTATGTCTGTTGAGTGTTTTTTAAATGTTTGGACATTTTTAAGATTTAAATTTTAATTTATTTTAAATTAATTTATTAAATAAAATAATTATTTCCTAATTTTTTTTTAAACTGCGTGATCATGCTTGATCTTTAAATATAACAAACGAACTGTAGTTAGTGTGAGTTCCTGGTGGCCTAGTGGTCAGTGCTCATGGTGTGAGAGCTAAACTAATCACAGGAGACTGGGGTTCGAATCACCACGGTGTTACAGAATTTTATCATTCCTGCCAAAAAAAAGGTATTTTTTCCAAAAAAAAAAAGGATTTTTTTCCTCTTCCGCTGCACCTTTCTCTCCTCCTCTCTGGTCAGCCTCTCTTATCTCCACTCCGCCTCTCTCTTCTCTGGTCCGCCCATCTGTCATCTTAGTCCAGCCTTCCTCACTCATGTCTGTCTTATCACGCCGGGTGTGTCCGCCATTCTCATTTGTGTTACCGCCCCAGGTGAACTTGTGCTCTGGTCCGTGTTTCACTTCATGTTCCAGTCCGTGTTTCACAGTGTGCTCACTTCCCCTTGAGCTTCAGGTACTTGCCCTCATGTTTGCCTTACCGCCCCAGGTAGGTTCTTAGGTGGGATTCGAACCCATGTATTGACCGTCACCTTGTCCGCAACCAACGGTGTTTTAGCCACTAGTGCCATCGTAGCTTACACGCTGAGAGATGGAGTTTGGTGCATGTTATTGGGTTTTTTTTAATGACAGCAATAAGCAATAGTGGGATTCAAACCCAAGACTCCAAGAGTAAAGGCTAATGCTTTAACAACTGAGCCACTGAGTCAGTCCAGAGTGCTGGGGTTTTCAGGTGGAATATAAAGAGTGTTTCCTGACAAATTCAGATAAAGATGTGATGACTGGGATTTGAACCCACATCTTTACTGCATCAGAATCGACAGTCTATGTTGTTAACCACTACACCACTGTGGCTTGTGATGTGTGTTGTGTTTTGTATGCTATGTATTGATATTTATTCTAGTACTGGTGAAAATGTTCAGTCTTTTTGGCATAAGCAGGGTTTGAACACAGAACTCCCGCATTAATACACAGCGTTTAATCATTTGAGCCACTGAGCCAGACAAGTAGAGCAGTGTTTTTGACAGGGTCATATTGACATCTTTTGCACTTTATCGCTAAAAATACATTTTGCACTGATTTTAGCATAAGCAGGATTCAAACCCTAAACTCTGAAGTTAAAATGCAGTGAATTAATCTACTGAGCCATTGAGCTTGATGAGGAAAGAGGTGTTTTTGACAGGGTGACATTGAGATCTTTTGCACTTCATCACTAAAAAAAAAAACTTTGCATTGTGGCATAAGCAGGATTTGAACCCACGAATCCCAAAGTTAAAACATGGCGTTTAAATCCATTGAGCTATTGAGTCAGATGAGCAGAAGAGGGTTTTTGACAGGGTGACATTGAGATCTTTTGCAGTTTATCGTTTAAAAACATTTTGCATTGATTTTGGTTTAAGCAGGAATCAAACCCACAACCTGTAAGTTAAAACACAGTGTCTTAGGTAATTGAGCCACTGTGCTGGATGAGCTGCTCGATGAGTTTTTGTGACAGGGTGACATTGAGATCTTTGTACTTTATTGGTAAAAATTATTTTGCACCGATTTCAGCATAAGCGAGATTCAAACTCATAACATCAAACTTAAAACATACTGTTTAAATCAACTGAGCCACTGATCCAGACGAGCTGAAGAAAGTATTTGACAGGGTGACATTGAGATCTTTTGCTGTTTATTGTAAAAAAAATCATTTTTCACTGATTTTAGCAGAAGCAGGATTCAAACCCACAACCTCAGAGTTAAACTGTAAAGTTTTACCTGCTGAGCCACAGAGTCTGAGAACATACATCATGTTTTAATTCAGTAAATTGATATAAAGCACTCAATTTAGACATTAAGATCAGCAACAGCGGGATTTGAACCCAGGTCTCTCAGATTAATGCACAGCGGATTAGTCAATTAAGCTACTGAAACCAAAAAGTATTCGTGTGCTTTGAAGTATTTGTGTGTTGTGATGATTCTGTCCAAAAATATGATAAAAATTGTGCAATAAAAGACAATCTACAGCTATTATGCTCTCCTCAGACTCTGTGGCTCAGCTTATTAAAGTGTCGTGTTTTAATCTTGGAGACCCGGGTTCAAATCCCGCTCTTGATGACCTTTATTTGTAATTGTGTGTTTCTAATTAAATCAACAGGATTCTCAAATTGAAATCAGCGGTCATTGGATTTGACCTCAGGACTCAGATTAAAACAGTTTGTTTGATCAGCCGAGCCGCTGAGTCTGAGAAACTTTATTTGTGTTTTGGATGGGATTTTGCTCATTAAATATTTAATATTATTTCAGTTTTTAAACAATGCACTAGAATTAACACAAGCTTTGTGTGGTTTCAATTTAGTTAACGAGCAAATTAACTAATGAAGCACATGATTGTTTAGCAGTTTTACTGAGGGATTTGTATTTAATCAAACAACTTTTCCACTCAAATGATTTAAATCCATGACTTTCCTCCTGTAAATCAGTTTAAGGCCACTAGTGCCTTTATGAATTTATCTTGGGTAAATCATCATTTGATTGTTTTAATGTAAACAGTAGTGAAATATGAGCTCACAACACTTTATCACCTGAGCTTGTGCTGTGAACATGTGCTTTGGACAGTTGTGTTTAGAGGTTTTCTTCATATGATATAAAATATCAGCAGTGGGATCAATACTGTCACACATAAACTTCTTATTTTTAATTAAAAATGTCAGCATTCATGAAACATATTTCTGTTTAAAATGTGCAAACAATCACAAAAATAGTCACCAAAAACTTGATTCATTTCAGCCTGTAATTGATTGAAAATAAATAACTTTTACATCAATTTTTAATCTTAATTTCTGCTGGAATAAAAGAAAAGAGTTGAGTCAGGAGATTTCTATCAGTGCTGATGAGCTTGATTAGCAGCTTCAGGTGTTTTTAATGAGGCTTAAACTGCTCTACAGCTGCAGGATTACACACTCTTCATTTCCTGTCCTCTTGCTGTTTTCATGCAGATGCACAAATCCTCCACAAGTGGGCACAACATTGACACATTGATCAGGCTTTCTTCATTAAATCTTTATTAAATGTGATGTTTGTCTGTAGATTGATGTGTTGATATGATGACCAGTCCTGAGCTTCACATCCTCCTCATCAGAGACACAGAGAAAGATTCAGTCAAACCTGCTACTGGAAGAGAAAAATCAGTCAAACAGTGCTGTAATCTCAAAAAGATGAACAAGTTAAACATGTCTAATATAAGAGGATACAGGGTCAGTATGAAACAGGGTGTGTGTGTGTGTATAGTTGGCAAATAAATGTACACAGAGGAAGATTAATTTATATTTATGTAGTTTGATTTTTTTATGTTTGAGAAAATATCAGCGGTCAGTAACCTTATTAATTTCTTTCACAGTAATTTTTTTCCCTTTTGTCTTTTAGTTGAACTGTACCATAAACATGCCCAATGGTGCAACAAAATAAAAATAAGAAAAACAACTCTTAATAATAGGATTTATCTTAATTGTTGGAATCGTATCTTTAATTAATGCTAATACTATTTTTTTTCTCCTTAATTTTCCAAACTTGGACATTTTCAATATACAGAGCTCAGCATATACGAGTACTCCCCTCACAAATCTGTCTTTTAAATTCATATTTTTAATAGGAAGCTTTACAATATTATATTTGTGCATATACATTAGATTAATCAATACTGATGCCAAATCTGGAGCTTATCTAACAGAATAACTTACGATAACAGTCCAAAAACTAGCTAACCCAAATTTATGTTATAGAAAAATATGAAATACAAATAAAAAAAGAGAAAAAAAATAAGAAAACCAAAAAAATTAAAATATTCAGTTGAATTTTTTTTGCAATATATAAAAAAATATACTCTTTGCAATATTTTGCTTGAATTTAATTGTATTTTCCTTCAATTTATAAATATGTTTGGTGAAAAAAAAATCATTTTAATAAACATATCTGTTTAATAAATCTGTTTTGTTTAAAAGCATCAAAATAAATATCCTATATTCACTGAGAAATTGAGAAAAATATTATTTATCAAAATGGGGTTTACACAATTATGCTGAGCACTGTAGGGGTGTCACAGCAAATGACAACACAATGAAACAAATGTTCTAGTTAAATATGAAAAAAGTGAAATATGGAAAATCTTCTTGTGTAATTGAGTCAAATTGTAAAGTTATCATATAGTGTCACACCACATGACATGGTTTTCAGTGCCAAAATGTGTCAAATTCTTGTTTTTAGAAATATATGGCCAGAAAAAAATGATTGCCATTTACTAAAATATATATACACTTGTAAAATTAGGTCTGAGGAATAGAAAAATGCAATCTCAATATTTATTTTCCATATTTTAGTACATTCAGTACATCTCTAATATCAACACACTTTTAGATTCCCATTGTTGCACACTTCTGCTGTGTGATTGGCTCTTAGATCAATATAGAATAAAAAAGTGCAGCGCTTAGCATTGTTATTGACATGTTATTGTTATCAGGATCCAATATATTATGGTTTATTGTCCAAGCCCCTAGTCTGAGGTGTGTATTAATGATTTCACAATGTTCTTTTTAATTTATAAGAGCTGTAATCTACTGAACCGTGATTGAGACGGTCACACCATAGAAAACGTTTCACATTTAGCTTAAAAAAAGTCAAACATTTAATAACACAACAGTTGTTATACACAAAGGAATTCACCATTTACTCCATTTTAAATGATGACAATACTAATTATATTCATTTTAGTCATGTGTGACTGTGAAAATGCAACATTATGTTACGTCATATTAAACTAATTTCTGTATTATTTGTTATGATGACTGCATCATATTTTATTAGTTATTTATTTTGCAAGATATTGGTCATCTGCTTAGTGTCATTTGAAGGTGTAAGGACTTCATCCAGGAGAAATAATAAATCAATAACAGGAAATGCTCTACGAGAAAATATACTATTTTTAAAAATTGGTAATATATTTTAGTTGGAATATATATTTACATTATTAATATTATTATTGTAATTTATTGTTGTTATTATCATTTACCTTAAACATAATTGTGTGGAAAATGACGTTGTAAGAGAATTACCCTCAAACTTAATCTTTAAAGTGGTTTAAGCCTTTCAAAATCTGATTAATTGGATATTCAGATCAATAAAATAGTCACCTCTTGTTTATTTGATGTCGTTTATATGGTTACACTCATTGGCCACAAGAGGGAGTTGTGGAGCAGCTGTTTGTCATCTGCCTTGTGCACATTTATCAAATAAAAGACAAGTTTCATTGACAGTCTGAAGTTTCAGCTTGTTTTTGTCACTAACGACTCATCTGTTAGAAAGCACAGAGCATTTTCCCACCTGCTCCTCCAAGCTTCAGGTTCAGTCTGACAAACATGAAAACTCTAGTCTACAACACTTGCAGATTATTTCACTTTATCATTAATTCAGTGCCACAAGAAGAGGACGTATTACATATTTACATAGTTTTCTGAAAGAGACAGATATATAAAAATATATACATTGACATGAAATGAAATGTTTTCAGATCATTAGGTTTTCAGTGCTTTTTGTTTTGTCGTTCTAAAAGTTTTTCATATGATTTGAAGTCATTCACAAAATGGGAAAAGTTTGGTTTACATTGAGCCCACTTTTTCTTATGTATATGGTGTTTTCCTAATAACACAACACAAATAAAAATCTGTTGTGCTTTACAGTTCAAGTTGTCATTATCAGAATAAAACTACATCAAATAAACTCATTTCTCTATTATACTCCATGTTTTTGTTAATAAACAATTCCAAATCTTTCCTACATTTTCTTGAGGAAATACAATAAATATGAAATATTAAGTTTGAATTTTCCTAAACATGTTTAGCAGGATGAGTTCAGTAGTATTTAGTCAGATTATTGCACTACAGTCCCCGCATATGATGTTACAGTGATGCCACTCAACTGAACACATACACTAATATCAAGAGTGTCACGCAACTCACCTGTACGTCTAGTTTCCATAAGGTCATTTATCGTGCAAAATTGTTAGCTTAGCACTTTAAGTACACATTTAAATATGAATTGATTATTATTTAAGCTTGTAATTGTAAATAAAAAATATGCCAGCAGTTTGTTTACGTGCTGCTCTCTTGCTGAACTGCCTGCTGAACAGACGTAAAACTTTACCTTTTATTATCCACCTGCTACTACAGAAGGCGTACGGTGCCAAACATCTTGACGAAACGCGTTTGTTGTTGTCAACACGCACTGTCTCTCAGCGGCTATTTGTGACTTTTGAAATGGAAATGAAATGGTGAGAGGAATATAATAGTAAGTAAACCTAATGTATTCATGTATGAACTGTCATTTGCTTTCCATTTATTACAAAAACATTACTGCAAGAAACTTTTGGTTTTAACAAACATAACCTGTAATATTAATAAAAAATAAATAAATAAAATAATAACCAGCTGAATAAAAAAGTTCAATAGTCAAATAATGGGACAAATCTTTGCTACTGTTGCTGATAATGATAAATGTATAAATGTAACCTTATAATCTTGTACAACACGTCATATTTATTTTTAGCCTCATTCTCAATTACTGACTCAATAATTCACTCATAAAACTTCATGTTTCATTACGAGATGTGTCATTTCTCAAGAATTATTCAGTGAAATATTTTTGATGGCTGTTTGTCGCCACCTATTGGTTAAACCTATTGTAATTATTAAAAGCACTAGAAAAAAAAACACAGCTGAGTTTACCTGAATAAGTATGGAAGGCAATGTCACAGGAAAAGGCAGAGGTAGATCTGGAGGAGCATGTGGACAAAAAAAACAACAACAAACAGGAACAAATTTGTTAGATGCAATTCAAGCAACCTTGATTGATCATATTGTAAACCATGGACTGACATTTGTGACCTGGACTCACTTTTATTAATATTGTGATTTATACATCACCTGTAAACTGAATAAATAAGCTTTTCATTTATGTATTTTTTATAGGACAATATTTAGCTATCAGTACTACAGTATTTGCTGTTCAATGTATTGAAACGTGTGTGCTGTCCTGTGACATCTACAGTAACATGTATTTTGATTGATTTAGAGTTCAGAATATTGAAGAGGAAAGCGGCCCTGCATAGTGAACAGAGATGCACACTTGATTCCAGTGAGCACTGCAACATTCAGACAACTTAATGCCCTTATGCTGCTGTCTGCTGTTAAAAGTGCTCAAATTCCCTTTTGCAAAAAGACATCTAACTTAAAATGATAAAAAAATTAAATTATAAAAAAACAGCTGACAAAAAAAATGTTAAAAATGTGTTTATAATAAAACTGTTTTAAAATTTTCTTCTTCTTAAGAAAAACTTGCGACACTGATGGATAAACTTGATACCTGCATTTCCCCATGCAATCTAAGTCAGTCAGTAAGAGTGATTTCCCCTCTGTGGTTCAGTTCTGTAAGATATGCTTCATGTCCACAAGGAGGAGCTGGAAAATGAGTCGTTTTAAAATAGACTTTACGAGTCTGCAAATATCATAACATGAAATAAATAATTGATTCTGAACTTAAATAATAAAGATAACTTTGCGTCAAAAATAAATAATTGAAGCATAAACAAATTGTAAAACACTATATTTGTAGAACCTCTTGTCTCTTCTACTGTTTGTGTTTATATTTCGGCCATGTGCTATATGCCTACTGCAGTTCAACACATTGGACATTTCATTATTATTTTCTTACCCCTTCAGTTGAGAAGCTGATCATCCGTTAGATGTCATGTTTATCTGCTGCTCGAGACCATTTAAAGAAGATCACAGACGTGATTTAATATATAAAACTAAAAACGCATCCCGTCTCCAACGACACACTTCTAGTTTGTTTTCATGCATTAAAACTACTGACACTGATTCACTTCCGCTCCACTAGGCGGCGTCTGCGGCTTTGACGTTCAGCGTGACTGTGACACCTTTAGAGCCTCATCAACAACATGACACTGATGACAGCCGCCTCGACACGACTGATTATTCATGTTTTAAGACCGTTAAAGTACAGTTACTGCAGATGACAGCTTATTTACAGACTCATTCAACAGCATGTATGTCAGCCATAACGTTAATAACAAACTACACGCTGTGTTGTCAAGCGTCCAGGATGTCACTCTGATCACCTGTAAGTATCCACACTTAACTAGAGATTTTCCTCTTTTAAAGTCGTTAGTGCTCATTATATATCAGTTATTTTATATATTATGGCATATATCAGTGTTAAATTGTATTTAAATCATTGTTGATAAGTCAGATGTGTTTGGTCCAGCAGAAGCATGTGGTCAGACATTGACTGTAATGATGGACATCTGCTGAGTGACAGGTAATGCATAAGTATTTGTCTGTAAGATTAACATTGTTATTTGACAAACAGAGATACGCTGCTAACACAAAGTGCACAAAGCGGATGCAAAATAACAATTCTAGCATTAAAGTTAAAAACTTTCAACAAATTTTAAAAGTTACATGGCTTGATTTAAATCTTCTTTTGTATGGGGGAAGTGCAAACGCTTGAGATAATGCACATCTAGGCAGTTCCTAATGCTCAGTCTTTTTTCTGTAACTTTTCCTAATTGAAGAGTTTTGTAATGTATTACACTTAAAAATATTATGATTGACACTAAAATAGTGAAGTGCAATGATTTCTGCTGTATTTGTTTCACTCTGTAGTTTAGGTAGTCTTTCACTTGTGTCTTTGCACCGTGTCAGGCTGTGTAATGTGCTCTAACTTCAGTTTTGTTTGTTTCTTTATGCAGAATTAATGTTGAACAGATTATAGTGTGATTTCTGGAGCAACACGAGATCCATTTCCCCATTCTCTGTTTATTCTGCCACTGCTGGTGAGTCTATTTATGTCTGTTGAGTGTTTTTTAAATGTTTTGCCATTTTTAAGATTTAAATTTTAATTTATTTTAAATTAATTTATTAAATAAAATAATTATTTCTTAATTTTTTTTTAAACTGCGTGATCATGCGTGATCTTTAAATATAACAAACGAACAGTTGTTAGTGTGAGTTCCTGGTGGCCTAGTGGTCAGTGCTCATGGTGTGAGAGCTAAACTGATCACAGGAGACTGGGGTTCGAATCACCACAGTGTTACAGAATTTTATCATTCCTGCCAAAAAAAAGGTATTTTTTCCAAAAAAAAAGGAATTTTTTCCTCTTCCTGCTCCGCCGCACCTTTCTCTCCTCCTCTCTGGTTCGCCCCTCTTATCTCCAGTCCGCCTCTCTCTTCTCCGGTCCGCCCATCTCTCATCTCAGTGCCGATTTCCTCACTCATGTCTGTCTTATCACGCCAGGTGTGTCCGCCATTCTCATTTGTGTTACCGCCTCAGGTGAACTTGTGCTCTGATCCGTGTTTCACTTCATGCTCCAGTCCGTGTTTCACAGTGTGCTTAGTTCCCCTTGAGCTTCAGGTACTTGCCCTCATGTTTGCCTTACCGCCCCAGGTAGGTTCTTAGGTGGGATTCGAACCCATGTATTGACCGTCACCTTGTCCGCAACCAACGGTGTTTTAGCCACTAGTGCCATCGTAGCTTACACGCTGAGAGATGGTGTTTGGCGCATGTTGTTGGGTTTTTTTTAATGACAGCAATAAGCAATAGTGGGATTCAAACCCAAGACTCCAAGAGTAAAGGCTAATGCTTTACCAACTGAGCCACTGAGTCAGTCCAGAGTGCTGAGATTTTCAGGTGGAATATAAAGAGTGTTTCCTGACAAATTCCGATAAAGATGTGACGACTGGGATTTGAACCCACAGCTTTACTGCATCAGACTTGACAGTCTATGCTGTTAACCACTACACCACTGTGGCTTGTTTTGAGTTGTGTGTTTTGTATGCTATGTATTGATATTTATTCTAGTACTGGTGAAAATGTTCAGTCCTTTTGGCATAAGCAGGGTTTAAACACAGAACTCCCGCATTAATACACAGCGTTTAATCATTTGAGCCACTGAGCCAGACAAGTAGAGCAGTGTTTTTGACAGGGTCATATTGACATCTTTTGCACTTTATCGCTAAAAATACATTTTGCACTGATTTTAGCATAAGCAGGATTCAAACCCACAACTCTGAAGTTAAAATGCAGTGAATTAATCTACTGAGCCATTGAGCTTGATGAGAAAAGTTGTGTTTTTGACAGGGTGACATTGAGATCTTTTGCACTTCATCACTAAAAAAAAAAACTTTGCATTGTAGCATAAGCAGGATTTGAACCCACGAACCCCAAAGTTAAAACATGGCGTTTAAATCCATTGAGCTACTGAGTCAGACGAGCAGAAGAGGGTTTTTGACAGGGTGACATTGAGATCTTTTGCAGTTTATCGCTTAAAACATTTTGCATTGATTTTGGTTTAAGCAGGAATCAAACCCACAACCTGTAAGTTAAAACACAGTGTCTTAGGTAATTGAGCCACTGTGCTGGATGAGCTGCTCGATGAGTTTTTGTGACAGGGTGACATTGAGATCTTTGTACTTTATTGGTAAAATTATTTTGCACCAATTTCAGCATAAGCGAGATTCAAACTCATAACCTCAAAGTTTAAACATATTGTTTAAATCAACTGAGCCACTGATCCACACAAGCTGAAGAGAGTATTTGACAGGGTGACATTGAGATCTTTTGCTGTTTATTGTAAAAAAAATGTTTTTCACTGATTTTAGCAGAAGCAGGATTCAAACCCACAACCTCAGAGTTAAACTGTAAAGTTTTACCTGCTAAGCCACAGAGTCTGAGAACACACATCATGTTTTAATTCAGTAAATTGATATAAAGCACTCAATTTAGACATTAAGATCAGCAACAGTGGGATTTGAACCCAGGTCTCTCAGATTAAAGCACAGGGGTTTAGTCAATTGAGCTACTGAAACCAAAAAGTGTTTGTGTGCTTTGAAGTATTTGTGTGTCGTGATGATTTTGTCCAAAAATATGATAAAAATTGTGCAATAAAAGACAATCTACAGCTATTATGCTCTCCTCAGACTCTGTGGCTCAGCTTATTAAAGTGTCGTGTTTTAATCTTGGAGACCCGGGTTCAAATCCCGCTCTTGATGACCTTCATTTGTAATTGTGTGTTTCTAATTAAATCAACAGGATTCTCAAATTGAAATCAACAGTCATTGGATTTGACCTCAGGACTCAGATTAAAACAGTTTGTTTGATCAGCCGAGCCGCTGAGTCTGAGAAACTTTATTTGTGTTTTGGATGGGATTTTGTCTATTGAATATTTAATATTATTTCAGTTTTTAAACAATGCACTAGAATTAACACAAGCTTTGTGTGGTTTCAATTTAGTTAACGAGCAAATTAACTAATGAAGCACATGATTGTTTAGCAGTTTTACTGAGGGATTTGTATTTGATCAAACAACTTTTCCACTCAAATGATTTAAATCCATGACTTTCCTCCTGTAAATCAGTTTAAGGCCACTAGTGCCTTTATGAATTTATCTTGGGTAAATCATCATTTGATTGTTTTAATGTAAACAGTAGTGAAATATGAGCTCACAACACTTTATCACCTGAGCTTGTGCTGTGAACATGTGCTTTGGACAGTTGTGTTTAGAGGTTTTCTTCATATGATATAAAATATCAGCAGTGAGATCAATACTGTCTCACATAAACTTCTTATTTTTAATTAAAAATGTCAGCATTCATGAAACATATTTCTGTTTAAAATGTGCAAACAATCACAAAAATAGTCACCAAAAACTTAATTCATTTCAGCCTGTAATTGACTGAAAATAAATAACTTTTACATCAATTTTTAATCTTAATTTCTGCTGGAATAAAAGAAAAGAGTTGAGTCAGGAGATTTCTATCAGTGCTGATGAGCTTGATTTGCAGCTTCAGGTGTTTTTAATGAGGCTTAAACTGCTCTACAGCTGCAGGATTACACACTCTTCATTTCCTGTCCTCTTGCTGTTTTCATGCAGATGCACAAATCCTCCACAAGTGGGCACAACATTGACACATTGATCAGGCTTTCTTCATTAAATCTTTATTAAATGTGATGTTTGTCTGTAGATTGATGTGTTGATATGATGACCAGTCCTGAGCTTCACATCCTCCTCATCAGAGACACAGAGAAAGATTCAGTCAAACCTGCTACTGGAAGAGAAAAATCAGTCAAACAGTGCTGTAATCTCAAAAAGATGAACAAGTTAAACATGTCTAATATAAGAGGATACAGGGTCAGTATAAAACAGGGTGTGTGTGTGTGTATAGTTGGCAAATAAATGTACACAGAGGATGATTAATTTATATTTATGTAGTTTGATTTTTTTATGTTTGAGAAAATATCAGCGGTCAGTAACCTTATTAATTTCTTTCACAGTAATTTTTTTCCCTTTTGTCTTTTAGTTGAACTGTACCATAAACATGCCCAATGGTGCAACAAAATAAAAATAAGAAAAACAACTCTTAATAATAGGATTTATCTTAATTGTTGGAATCGTATCTTTAATTAATGCTAATACTATTTTTTTTCTCCTTAATTTTCCAAACTTGGACATTTTCAATATATACAGAGCTCAGCATATACGAGTACTCCCCTCACAAATCTGTCTTTTAAATTGATATTTTTAATAGGAAGCTTTACATTATTATATTTGTGCATATACATTAGATTAATCAATACTGATGCCAAATCTGGAGCTTATCTAACAGAATAACTTACGATAACAGTCCAAAAACTAGCTAACCCAAATTTATGTTATAGAAAAATATGAAATACAAATAAAAAAAGAGAAAAAAAATAAGAAAACCAAAAAAATTAAAATATTCAGTTGAATTTTTTTTGCAATATATAAAAAAAAAATACTCTTTGCAATATTTTGCTTGAATTTAATTGTATTTTCCTTCAATTTATAAATATGTTTGGTGAAAAAAAATCATTTTAATAAACATATCTGTTTAATAAATCTGTTTTGTTTAAAAGCATCAAAATAAATATCCTATATTCACTGAGAAATTTATAAAAATATTAATTATCAAAATGGGGTTTACACAATTATGCTGAGCACTGTAGGGGTGTCACAGCAAATGACAACACAATGAAATGTTCTAGTTAAATATGAAAAAAGTGAAATATAGAAAATCTTCTTGTGTAATTGAGTCAAATTGTAAAGTTATCATATAGTGTCACACCACATGACATGGTTTTCAGTGCCAAAATGTGTCAAATTCTTGTTTTTAGAAATATATGGCCAGAAAAAAATGATTGCCATTTACTAAAATATATATACACTTGTAAAATTAGGTCTGAGGAATGGAAAAATGCAATCTCAATATTTATTTTCCATATTTTAGTACATTCAGTACATCTCTAATATCAACACACTTTTAGATTCCCATTGCTGCACACTTCTGCTGTGTGATTGGCTCTTAGATCAATATAGAATAAAAAAGTGCAGCGCTTAGCGTTGTTATTGACATGTTATTGTTATCAGGATCCAATATATTATGGTTTATTGTCCAAGCCCCTAGTCTGAGGTGTGTATTAATGATTTCACAATGTTCTTTTTAATTTATAAGAGCTGTAATCTACTGAACCGTGATTGAGACGGTCACACCATAGAAAACGTTTCACATTTAGCTTAAAAAAAGTCAAACATTTAATAACACAACAGTTGTTATACACAAAGGAATTCACCATTTACTCCATTTTAAATGATGACAATACTAATTATATTCATTTTAGTCATGTGTGACTGTGAAAATGCAACATTATGTTACGTCATATTAAACTAATTTCTGTATCATTTGTTATGATGACAGTGCATCATATTTTATTAGTTATTTATTTTGCAAGATATTGGTCATCTGCTTAGTGTCATTTAAAGGTGTAAAGACTTTATCCAGGAGAAATAATAAATCAATAACAGGAAATGCTCTACGAGAAAATATACTATTTTTAAAAAATGGTAATATATTTTAGTTGGAATATATATTTACATTATTATTAATTATTATTGTAATTTATTGTTGTTGTTATTATCATTTACCTTAAACATAATTGTGTGGAAAATGACGTTGTAAGAGAATTACCCTCAAACTTAATCTTTAAAGTGGTTTAAGCCTTTCAAAATCTGATTAATTGGATATTTAGATCAATAAAATAGTCACCTCTTGTTTATTTGATGTCGTTTATATGGTTACACTCATTGGCCACAAGAGGGAGTTGTGGAGCAGCTGTTTGTCATCTGCCTTGTGCACATTTATCAAATAAAAGACAAGTTTCATTGACAGTCTGAAGTTTCAGCTTGTTTTTGTCACTAACGACTCATCTGTTAGAAAGCACAGAGCATTTTCCCACCTGCTCCTCCAAGCTTCAGGTTCAGTCTGACAAACATGAAAACTCTAGTCTACAACACTTGCAGATTATTTCACTTTATCATTAATTCAGTGCCACAAGAAGAGGAGGTATTACATATTTACATAGTTTTCTGAAAGAGACAGATATATAAAAATATATACATTGACATGAAATGAAATGTTTTCAGATCATTAGGTTTTCAGTGCTTTTTGTTTTGTCGTTCTAAAAGTTTTTCATATGATTTGAAGTCATTCACAAAATGGGAAAAGTTTGGTTTACATTGAGCCCACTTTTTCTTATGTATATGGTGTTTTCCTAATAACACAACACAAATAAAAATATGTTGTGCTTTACAGTTCAAGTTGTCATTATCAGAATAAAACTACATCAAATAAACTCATTTGAAATATTAAGTTTGAATTTTCCTAAACATGTTTAGCAGGATGAGTTCAGTAGTATTTAGTCAGATTATTGCACTACAGTCCCCGCATATGATGTTACAGTGATGCCACTCAACTGAACACACATACACTGATATCAAGAGTGTCACGCGACTCACCAGTACGTCTAGTTTCCATAAGGTCATTTATCGTGCAAAATTGTTAGCTTAGCACTTTTAAGTACACATTTAAATATGAATTGATTATTATTTAAGCTTGTAATTGTAAATATAAATATGCCAGCAGCTTGTTTACGTGCTGCTCTCTTGCTGAACTGCCTGCTGAACAGACGTAAAACTTTACCTTTTATTATCCACCTGCTACTACAGAAGGCGTACGGTGCCAAACATCTTGACGAAACGCGTTTGTTGTTGTCAACACGCACTTTCTCTCAGCGGCTATTTGTGACTTTTGAAATGGAAATTAAATGGTGAGAGGAATATAATAGTAAGTAAACCTAATGTATTCATGTATGAACTGTCATTTGCTTTCCATTTATTACAAAAACATTACTGCAAGAAACTTTTGGTTTTAACAAACATAACCTGTAATATTAATAAAAAATAAATAAATAAAATAATAACCAGCTGAATAAAAAAGTTCAATAGTCAAATAATGGGACAAATCTTTGCTACTGTTGCTGATAATGCTAAATGTATAAATGTACCCTTATAATCTTGTACAACACGTCATATTTATTTTTAGCCTCATTCTCAATTACTGACTCAATAATTCACTCATAAAACTTCATGTTTCATTACGAGATGTGTCATTTCTCAAGAATTATTCAGGGAAATATTTTTGATGGCTGTTTGTCGCCACCTATTGGTTAAACCTATTGTAATTATTAAAAGCACTAGAAAAAACACAGCTGAGTTTACCTGAATAAGTATGGAAGGCAATGTCACAGGAAAAGGCAGAGGTAGATCTGGAGGAGCATGTGGACAAAAAAAAAAAAAAAAAAAACAGGAACAAATTTGTTAGATGCAATTCAAGCAACCTTGATTGACCATATTGTAAACCATGGACTGACATTTGTGACCTGGACTCACTTTTATTAATATTGTGATTTATACATCACCTGTAAACTGAATAAATAAGCTTTTCATTGATGTATTTTTTATAGGACAATATTTAGCTATCAGTACTACAGTATTTGCTGTTCAATGTATTGAAACGTGTGTGCTGTCCTGTGACATCTACAGTAACATGTATTTTGATTGATTTAGAGTTCAGAATGTTGAAGAGGAAAGCGGCCCTGCATAATGAACAGAGATGCACACTTGATTCCAGTGAGCACTGCAACATTCAGACAACTTAATGCCCTTCTGCTGCTGTCTGCTGTTAAAAGTGCTCAAATATTCCCTTTTGCAAAAAGACATCTAACTTAAAATGATTTTAAAAAAATGAAATTATAAAAAAACAGCTGACAAAAACATTTAAAAAGGTTAAAAATGTGCTTGTAATAAAACTTTTATCAAAGTATTTAAATTTTCTTCTTCTTAAGAGAAACTTGCGACACTGATGGATAAACTTGATGATACCTGCATTTCCCCATGCAATCTAAGTCAGTCAGTAAGAGTGATTTCCCCTCTGTGGTTCAGTTCTGTAAGATATGCTTCATGTCCACAAGGAGGAGCTGGAAAATGAGTCGTTTTAAAATAGACTTTACGAGTCTGCAAATATCAGAACATGAAATAAATTATTAACTCTAAACTTAAATAATGAAGATGACTTTGCGTCAAAAATAAATATTTGAAGCATAAACAAATTGTAAAACACTATATTTGTAGAACCTCTTGTCTCTTCTACTGTTTGTGTTTATATTTCGGCCATGTGCTATATGCCTACTGCAGTTCAACACATTGGACATTTTATTATTATTTTCTTACCCCTTCAGTTGAGAAGCTGATCATCCGTTAGATGTCATGTTTATCTGCTGCTCGAGACCATTTAAAGAAGATCACAGACGTGATTTAATATATATATAACACTAAAAACGCATCCCGTCTCCAACGACACACTTCTAGTTTGTTTTCATGCATTAAAACTACTGACACTGATTTACTTCCGCTCCACTAGGCGGCGTCTGCGGCTTTGACGTTCAGCGTGACTGTGACACCTTTAGAGCCTCATCAACAACATGACACTGATGACAGCCGCCTCGACACGACTGATTATTCATGTTTTGAGACCGTTAAAGTACAGTTACTGCAGATGACAGCTTATTTACAGACTCATTCAACAGCATGGATGTCAGCCATAACGTTAATAACAAACTACACGCTGTGTTGTCAAGCGTCCAGGATGTCACTCTGATCACCTGTAAGTATCCACACTTAACTAGAGATTTTCCTCTTTTAAAGTCGTTAGTGCTCATTATATATCAGTTATTTTATATATTATGGCATATATCAGTGTTAAATTGTATTTAAATCATTGTTGATAAGTCAGATGTGTTTTGTCCAGCAGAAGCATGTGGTCAGACATTGACTGTAATGATGGACATCTGCTGAGTGACAGGTAATGCATAAGTATTTGTCTGTAAGATTAACATTGTTATTTGACAAACAGAGATACGCTGCTAACACAAAGTGCACAAAGCGGATGCAAAATAACAATTCTAGCATTAAAGTTAAAAACTTTCAACAAATTTTAAAAGTTACATGGCTTGATTTAAATCATCTTTTGTATGGGGGAAGTGCAAACGCTTGAGATAATGCACATCTAGGCAGTTCCTAATGCTCAGTCTTTTTTTCTGTAATTTTTGCTAATTGAAGAGTTTTGTAATGTATTAAATTAAAAAATATTATGATTGACACTATAATAGTGAAGTGCAATGATTTCTGCTGTATTTGTTTCACTCTGTAGTTTAGGTAGTCTTTCACTCGTGTCTTTGCACCGTGTCAGGCTGTGTAATGTGCTCTAACTTCAGTTTTGTTTGTTTCTTTATGCAGAATTAATGTTGAACAGATTATAGTGTGATTTCTGGAGCAACACGAGATCCATTTCCCCATTCTCTGTTTATTCTGCCACTGCTGGTGAGTCTATTTATGTCTGTTGAGTGTTTTTTAAATGTTTTTGCCATTTTTAAGATTTAAATTTTAATTTATTTTAAATTAATTTATTAAATAAAATAATTATTTCTTAATTTTTTTTTTAGACTGCGTTATCATGCGTGATCTTTAAATATAACAAACGAATAGTTGTTAGTGTGAGTTCCTGGTGGCCTAGTGGTCAGTGCTCATGGTGTGAGAGCTAAACTGATCACAGGAGACTGGGGTTCGAATCACCACGGTGTTACAGAATTTTATCATTCCTGCCAAAAAAAAGGTATTTTTTCCAAAAAAAAAGGAATTTTTTCCTCTTCCTGCTCCGCCGCACCTTTCTCTCCTCCTCTCTGATCCGCCCCTCTTATCTCCACTCCGCCTCTCTCTTCTCCGGTCCGCCCATCTCTCATCTCAGTGCCGACTTCCTCACTCATGTCTGTCTTATCACGCCGGGTGTGTCCTCCATTCTCTTTTGTGTTACCGCCTCAGGTGAACTTGTGTCCTGGTCCGTGTTTCACTTCATGCTCCAGTCCGTGTTTCACAGTGTGCTTAGTTCCCCTTGAGCTTCAGGTACTTGCCCTCATGTTTGCCTTACCGCCCCAGGTAGGTTCTTAGGTGGGATTCGAACCCATGTATTGACCGTCACCTTGTCCGCAACCAACGGTGTTTTAGCCACTAGTGCCATCGTAGCTTACACGCTGAGAGATGGTGTTTGGCGCATGTTGTTGGGTTTTTTTTAATGACAGCAATAAGCAATAGTGGGATTCAAACCCAAGACTCCAAGAGTAAAGGCTAATGCTTTACCAGCTGAGCCACTGAGTCAGTCCAGAGTGCTGAGATTTTCAGGTGGAATATAAAGAGTGTTTCCTGACAAATTCAGATAAAGATGTGACGACTGGGATTTGAACCCACATCTTTACTGCATCAGACTTGACAGTCTATGCTGTTAACCACTACACCACTGTGGCTTGTTTTGAGTTGTGTGTTTTGTATGCTATGTATTGATATTTATTCTAGTACTGGTGAAAATGTTCAGTCCTTTTGGCATAAGCAGGGTTTAAACACAGAACTCCCGCATTAATACACAGCGTTTAATCATTTGAGCCACTGAGCCAGACAAGTAGAGCAGTGTTTTTGACAGGGTCATATTGACATCTTTTGCACTTTATCGCTAAAAATACATTTTGCACTGATTTTAGCATAAGCAGGATTCAAACCCACAACTCTGAAGTTAAAATGCAGTGAATTAATCTACTGAGCCATTGAGCTTGATGAGAAAAGTTGTGTTTTTGACAGGGTGACATTGAGATCTTTTGCACTTCATCACTAAAAAAAAAAACTTTGCATTGTAGCATAAGCAGGATTTGAACCCACGAACCCCAAAGTTAAAACATGGCGTTTAAATCCATTGAGCTACTGAGTCAGACGAGCAGAAGAGGGTTTTTGACAGGGTGACATTGAGATCTTTTGCAGTTTATCGCTTAAAACATTTTGCATTGATTTTGGTTTAAGCAGGAATCAAACCCACAACCTGTAAGTTAAAACACAGTGTCTTAGGTAATTGAGCCACTGTGCTGGATGAGCTGCTTGATGAGTTTTTGTGACAGGGTGACATTGAGATCTTTGTACTTTATTGGTAAAATTATTTTGCACCGATTTCAGCATAAGCGAGATTCAAACTCATAACCTCAAAGTTTAAACATATTGTTTAAATCAACTGAGCCACTGATCCACACAAGCTGAAGAGAGTATTTGACAGGGTGACATTGAGATCTTTTGCTGTTTATTGTAAAAAAAATGTTTTTCACTGATTTTAGCAGAAGCAGGATTCAAACCCACAACCTCAGAGTTAAACTGTAAAGTTTTACCTGCTAAGCCACAGAGTCTGAGAACACACATCATGTTTTAATTCAGTAAATTGATATAAAGCACTCAATTTAGACATTAAGATCAGCAACAGTGGGATTTGAACCCAGGTCTCTCAGATTAAAGCACAGGGGTTTAGTCAATTGAGCTACTGAAACCAAAAAGTGTTTGTGTGCTTTGAAGTATTTGTGTGTCGTGATGATTTTGTCCAAAAATATGATAAAAATTGTGCAATAAAAGACAATCTACAGCTATTATGCTCTCCTCAGACTCTGTGGCTCAGCTTATTAAAGTGTCGTGTTTTAATCTTGGAGACCCGGGTTCAAATCCCGCTCTTGATGACCTTCATTTGTAATTGTGTGTTTCTAATTAAATCAACAGGATTCTCAAATTGAAATCAACAGTCATTGGATTTGACCTCAGGACTCAGATTAAAACAGTTTGTTTGATCAGCCGAGCCGCTGAGTCTGAGAAACTTTATTTGTGTTTTGGATGGGATTTTGTCTATTGAATATTTAATATTATTTCAGTTTTTAAACAATGCACTAGAATTAACACAAGCTTTGTGTGGTTTCAATTTAGTTAACGAGCAAATTAACTAATGAAGCACATGATTGTTTAGCAGTTTTACTGAGGGATTTGTATTTGATCAAACAACTTTTCCACTCAAATGATTTAAATCCATGACTTTCCTCCTCTAAATCAGTTTAAGGCCACTAGTGCCTTTATGAATTTATCTTGGGTAAATCATCATTTGATTGTTTTAATGTAAACAGTAGTGAAATATGAGCTCACAACACTTTATCACCTGAGCTTGTGCTGTGAACATGTGCTTTGGACAGTTGTGTTTAGAGGTTTTCTTCATATGATATAAAATATCAGCAGTGGGATCAATACTGTCTCACATAAACTTCTTATTTTTAATTAAAAATGTCAGCATTCATGAAACATATTTCTGTTTAAAATGTGCAAACAATCACAAAAATAGTCACCAAAAACGTTATTCATTTCAGCCTGTAATTGACTGAAAATAAATAACTTTTACATCAATTTTTAATCTTAATTTCTGCTGGAATAAAAGAAAAGAGTTGAGTCAGGAGATTTCTATCAGTGCTGATGAGCTTGATTAGCAGCTTCAGGTGTTTTTAATGAGGCTTAAACTGCTCTACAGCTGCAGGATTACACACTCTTCATTTCCTGTCCTCTTGCTGTTTTCATGCAGATGCACAAATCCTCCACAAGTGGGCACAACATTGACACATTGATCAGGCTTTCTTCATTAAATCTTTATTAAATGTGATGTTTGTCTGTAGATTGATGTGTTGATATGATGACCAGTCCTGAGCTTCACATCCTCCTCATCAGAGACACAGAGAAAGATTCAGTCAAACCTGCTACTGGAAGAGAAAAATCAGTCAAACAGTGCTGTAATCTCAAAAAGATGAACAAGTTAAACATGTCTAATATAAGAGGATACAGGGTCAGTATAAAACAGGGTGTGTGTGTGTGTATAGTTGGCAAATAAATGTACACAGAGGATGATTAATTTATATTTATGTAGTTTGATTTTTTTATGTTTGAGAAAATATCAGCGGTCAGTAACCTTATTAATTTCTTTCACAGTAATTTTTTTCCCTTTTGTCTTTTAGTTGAACTGTATCATAAACATGCCCAATGGTGCAACAAAATAAAAATAAGAAAAACAACTCTTAATAATAGGATTTATCTTAATTGTTGGAATCGTATCTTTAATTAATGCTAATACTATTTTTTTTCTCCTTAATTTTCCAAACTTGGACATTTTCAATATATACAGAGCTCAGCATATACGAGTACTCCCCTCACAAATCTGTCTTTTAAATTCATATTTTTAATAGGAAGCTTTACATTATTATATTTGTGCATATACATTAGATTAATCAATACTGATGCCAAATCTGGAGCTTATCTAACAGAATAACTTACGATAACAGTCCAAAAACTAGCTAACCCAAATTTATGTTATAGAAAAATATGAAATACAAATAAAAAAAGAGAAAAAAAATAAGAAAACCAAAAAAATTAAAATATTCAGTTGAATTTTTTTTGCAATATATAAAAAAAAATACTCTTTGCAATATTTTGCTTGAATTTAATTGTATTTTCCTTCAATTTATAAATATGTTTGGTGAAAAAAAATCATTTTAATAAACATATCTGTTTAATAAATCTGTTTTGTTTAAAAGCATCAAAATAAATATCCTATATTCACTGAGAAATTTATAAAAATATTAATTATCAAAATGGGGTTTACACAATTATGCTGAGCACTGTAGGGGTGTCACAGCAAATGACAACACAATGAAACAAATGTTCTAGTTAAATATGAAAAAAGTGAAATATGGAAAATCTTCTTGTGTAATTGAGTCAAATTGTAAAGTTATCATATAGTGTCACACCACATGACATGGTTTTCAGTGCCAAAATGTGTCAAATTCTTGTTTTTAGAAATATATGGCCAGAAAAAAATGATTGCCATTTACTAAAATATATATACACTTGTAAAATTAGGTCTGAGGAATGGAAAAATGCAATCTCAATATTTATTTTCCATATTTTAGTACATTCAGTACATCTCTAATATCAACACACTTTTAGATTCCCATTGCTGCACACTTCTGCTGTGTGATTGGCTCTTAGATCAATATAGAATAAAAAAGTGCAGCGCTTAGCGTTGTTATTGACATGTTATTGTTATCAGGATCCAATATATTATGGTTTATTGTCCAAGCCCCTAGTCTGAGGTGTGTATTAATGATTTCACAATGTTCTTTTTAATTTATAAGAGCTGTAATCTACTGAACCGTGATTGAGACGGTCACACCATAGAAAACTTTTCACATTTAGCTTAAAAAAAGTCAAACATTTAATAACACAACAGTTGTAATACACAAAGGAATTCACCATTTACTCCATTTTAAATGATGACAATACTAATTATATTCATTTTAGTCATGTGTGACTGTGAAAATGCAACGTTATGTTACGTCATATTAAACTAATTTCTGTATCATTTGTTATGATGACTGCATCATATTTTATTAGTTATTTATTTTGCAAGATATTGGTCATCTGCTTAGTGTCATTTGAAGGTGTAAAGACTTTATCCAGGAGAAATAATAAATCAATAACAGGAAATGCTCTACGAGAAAATATACTATTTTTAAAAAATGGTAATATATTTTAGTTGGAATATATATTTACATTATTATTAATTATTATTGTAATTTATTGTTGTTGTTATTATCATTTACCTTAAACATAATTGTGTGGAAAATGACGTTGTAAGAGAATTACCCTCAAACTTAATCTTTAAAGTGGTTTAAGCCTTTCAAAATCTGATTAATTGGATATTTAGATCAATAAAATAGTCACCTCTTGTTTATTTGATGTCGTTTATATGGTTACACTCATTGGCCACAAGAGGGAGTTGTGGAGCAGCTGTTTGTCATCTGCCTTGTGCACATTTATCAAATAAAAGACAAGTTTCATTGACAGTCTGAAGTTTCAGCTTGTTTTTGTCACTAACGACTCATCTGTTAGAAAGCACAGAGCATTTTCCCACCTGCTCCTCCAAGCTTCAGGTTCAGTCTGACAAACATGAAAACTCTAGTCTACAACACTTGCAGATTATTTCACTTTATCATTAATTCAGTGCCACAAGAAGAGGAGGTATTACATATTTACATAGTTTTCTGAAAGAGACAGATATATAAAAATATATACATTGACATGAAATGAAATGTTTTCAGATCATTAGGTTTTCAGTGCTTTTTGTTTTGTCGTTCTAAAAGTTTTTCATATGATTTGAAGTCATTCACAAAATGGGAAAAGTTTGGTTTACATTGAGCCCACTTTTTCTTATGTATATGGTGTTTTCCTAATAACACAACACAAATAAAAATCTGTTGTGCTTTACAGTTCAAGTTGTCATTATCAGAATAAAACTACATCAAATAAACTCATTTCTTTATTATACTCCATGTTTTTGTTAATAAACAATTCCAAATCTTTCCTACATTTTCTTGAGGAAATGCAATAAATATGAAATATTAAGTTTGAATTTTCCTAAACATGTTTAGCAGGATGAGTTCAGTAGTATTTAGTCAGATTATTGCACTACAGTCCCCGCATATGATGTTACAGTGATGCCACTCAACTGAACACACATACACTAATATCAAGAGTGTCACGCGACTCACCTGTACGTCTAGTTTCCATAAGGTCATTTATCGTGCAAAATTGTTTGCTTAGCACTTTAAGTACACATTTAAATATGAACTGATTATTATTTAAGCTTGTAATTGTAAATATAAATATGCCAGCAGCTTGTTTACGTGCTGCTCTCTTGCTGAACTGCCTGCTGAACAGACGTAAAACTTTACCTTTTATTATCCACCTGCTACTACAGAAGGCGTACGGTGCCAAACATCTTGACGAAACGCGTTTGTTGTTGTCAACACGCACTGTCTCTCAGCGGCTATTTGTGACTTTTGAAATGAAAATGAAATGGTAAGAGGAATATAATAGTAAGTAAACCTAATGTATTCATGTATGAAATGTCATTTGCTTTCCATTTATTACAAAAACATTACTGCAAGAAACTTTTGGTTTTAACAAACATAAGCTGTAATATTCATAAAAAATAAATAAATAAAATAATAACCAGCTGAATAAAAAAGTTCAATAGTCAAATAATGGGACAAATCTTTGCTACTGTTGCTGATAATGCTAAATGTATAAATGTACCCTTATAATCTTGTACAACACGTCATATTTATTTTTAGCCTCATTCTCAATTACTGACTCAATAATTCACTCATAAAACTTCATGTTTCATTACGAGATGTGTCATTTCTCAAGAATTATTCAGTGAAATATTTTTGATGGCTGTTTGTCGCCACCTATTGGTTAAACCTATTGTAATTATTAAAAGCACTAGAAAAAACACAGCTGAGTTTACCTGAATAAGTAAGGAAGGCAATGTCACAGGAAAAGGCAGAGGTAGATCTGGAGGAGCATGTGGACAAAAAAACAAAAAAAAAACAGGAACAAATTTGTTAGATGCAATTCAAGCAACCTTGATTGATCATATTGTAAACCATGGACTGACATTTGTGACCTGGACTCACTTTTATTAATATTGTGATTTATACATCACCTGTAAACTGAATAAATAAGCTTTTCATTGATGTATTTTTTAATAGGACAATATTTAGCTATCAGTACTACAGTATTTGCTGTTCAATGTATTGAAACGTGTGTGCTGTCCTGTGACATCTACAGTAACATGTATTTTGATTGATTTAGAGTTCAGAATGTTGAAGAGGAAAGCGGCCCTGCATAGTGAACAGAGATGCACACTTGATTCCAGTGAGCACTGCAACATTCAGACAACTTAATGCCCTTATGCTGCTGTCTGCTGTTAAAAGTGCTCAAATATTCCCTTTTGGAAAAAGACATCTAACTTAAAATGATAAAAAATTTAATTATAAAAAAACAGCTGACAAAAAAATTTAAATGTTAAAAATGTTTTCATAATAAAACTGTTATTAATTAAAATTTTCTTCTTAAGAAAAACTTGCGACACTGATGGATAAACTTGATGATACCTGCATTTCCCCATGCAATCTAAGTCAGTCAGTAAGAGTGATTTTCCCTCTGTGGTTCAGTTCTGTAAGATATGCTTCATGTCCACAAGGAGGAGCTGGAAAATGAGTCGTTTTAAAATAGACTTTAGGAGTCTGCAAATATCTGAACATGAAATAAATTATTGATTCTGAACTTAAATAATAAAGATAACTTTGCGTCAAAAATAAATATTTGAAGCATAAACAAATTGAAAAATACTATATTTGTAGAACCTCTTGTCTCTTCTACTGTTTGTGTTTATATTTCGGCCATGTGCTATATGCCAACTGCAGTTCAACACATTGGACATTTCATTATTATTTTCTTACCCCTTCAGTTGGGAAGCTGATCATCCGTTAGATGTCATGTTTATCTGCTGCTCGAGACCATTTAAAGAAGATCACAGACGTGATTTAAATTATATAACACTAAAAACGCATCCCGTCTCCAACGACACACTTCTAGTTTGTTTTCATGCATTAAAACTACTGACACTGATTCACTTCCGCTCCACTAGGCGGCGTCTGCGGCTTTGACGTTCAGCGTGACTGTGACACCTTTAGAGCCTCATCAACAACATGACACTGATGACAGCCGCCTCGACACGACTGATTATTCATGTTTTAAGACCGTTAAAGTACAGTTACTGCAGATGACAGCTTATTTACAGACTCATTCAACAGCATGTATGTCAGCCATAACGTTAATAACAAACTACACGCTGTGTTGTCAAGCATCCAGGATGTCACTCTGATCACCTGTAAGTATCCACACTTAACTAGTGATTTTCCTCTTTTAAAGTCGTTAGTGCTCATTATATATCAGTTATTTTATATATTATGGCATATATCAGTGTTAAATTGTATTTAAATCATTGTTGATACGTCAGATGTGTTTGTTCCAGCAGAAGCATGTGGTCAGACATTGACTGTAATGATGGACATCTGCTGAGTGACAGGTAATGCATAAGTATTTGTCTGTAAGATTAACATTGTTATTTGACAAACAGAGATATGCTGCTAACACAAAGTGCACAAAGCGGATGCAAAATAACAATTCTAGCATTAAAGTTAAAAACTTGAAACAAATTTTAAAAGTTACATGGCTTGATTTAAATCATCTTTTGTATGGGGGAAGTGCAAACCCTTGAGATAATGCACATCTAGGCAGTTCCTAATGCTCAGTCTTTTTTTCTGTAACTTTTGCTAATTGAAGAGTTTTGTAATGTATTAAATTAAAAAATATTATGATTGACACTATAATAGTGAAGTGCAATGATTTCTGCTGTATTTGTTTCACTCTGTAGTTTAGGTAGTCTTTCACTCGTGTCTTTGCACCGTGTCAGGCTGTGTAATGTGCTCTAACTTCAGTTTTATTTGTTTCTTTATGCAGAATTAATGTTGAACAGTTTATAGTGTGATTTCTGGAGCAACACGAGATCCATTTCCCCATTCTCTGTTTATTCTGCCACTGCTGGTGAGTCTATTTATGTCTGTTGAGTGTTTTTTAAATGTTTTGCCATTTTTAAGATTTAAATTTAAATTTATTTTAAATTAATTTATTAAATAAAATAATTATTTCTTAATTTTTTTTTTTAAACTGCGTGATCATGCGTGATCTTTAAATATAACTAGGGAACAGTTGTTAGTGTGAGTTCCTGGTGGCCTAGTGGTCAGTGCTCATGGTGTGAGAGCTAAACTGATCACAGGAGACTGGGGTTCGAATCACCACGGTGTTACAGGATTTTATCATTCCTGCCAAAAAAAAGGTATTTTTTCCAAAAAAAAAGGAATTTCTTCCTTTTCTCTCTTTCTTTTCCGCCTCACCTTTCTCTCCTCCTCTCTGGTCCACCCCTCTCATCTCCAGTCTGCCTCTCTCGACCCATCCCTCATCTCAGTGCTGCCTTCCTCACTTATGTCAGTTTTATCGTGCCAGGTGTGTTCACCATTCTCATTTGTGTTACCGCCCCAGGTGAACTTGTGCTCTGGTCCGTGTTTCACTTCATGTTCCAGTCCGTGTTTCACATTGTGCTCAGTTCCCCTTGAGCTTCAGGTACTTGTCTTCATGTTTGCCTTACCGCCCCAGGTAGGTTCTTAGGTGGGATTCGAACCCATGTTTCGACCGTCACCTTGTCCGCAACCAACGGTGTTTAGCCACTAGTGCCATCGTAGCTTACACGCTGAGAGATGGAGTTTGGCGCATGTTATTGGGTTTTTTTAATGACAGCAATAAGCAATAGTGGGATTCGAACCCAAGACTCCAAGAGGAAAGGCTAATGCTTTACCAACTGAGCCACTGACTCAGTTCAGAGTCCTGGGTTTTCCTGGAATATAAAGAGTGTTTTCTGACAAATTCAGATAAAGATGTAATGTTTGGGATTTGAACCCACATCTTTACTGCATCAGACTCATCAGTCTATGTTTTTAACCACTACACCACTGTGGCTTGTTTTCTGTTGTGTGTTTTGTATGCTATGTATTGATATTTATTCTAGTACTGGTGAAAATTTTCGCTCACTTTGACATAAGCAGGGTTTGAACCCAGAACTCCCGCATTAAAACACAGCACTTTAATCATTTGAGCCACTTAGCCAGATGAGTAGAGAAGTGTTTTTGACAGGGTCATATTGAGATCTTTTGCTGTTTATTGATAAAAGAAAACATTTTCACTGATTCCGGTATAAGCTGGATTCAAACCCACAACCTCAAAGTTAAACTGTAAAGTTTTACCTGCTGAGCCACAGAGTCTGAGAACACACATCATGTTTTAATTCAGTAAATTGATATAAAGCACTCAATTTAGACATTAAGATCAGCAACAGCAGGATTTGAACCCAGGTCTCTCAGATTAAAGCACAGGGGTTTAGTCAATTGAGCTACTGAAACCAAAAAGTGTTATTGTGCTTTGAAGTATTTGTGTGTAGTGATGATTCTGTCCAAAAATATGATAAAATTGTGCAATAAAAGACAATCTACAGCTATTATGCTCTCCTCAGACTCTGTGGCTCAGCTTATTAAAGTGTCGTGTTTTAATCTTGGAGACCCGGGTTCAAACCTCGCTCTTGGTGACCTTCATTTGTAATTGTGTGTTTCTAATTAAATCAACAGGATTCTCAAATTGAAATCAACAGTCATTGAATTTGACCTCAGGACTCAGATTAAAACAGTTTGTTTGATCAGCCGAGCCGCTGAGTCTGAGAAACTTTATTTGTGTTTTGGATGGGATTTTGCTCATTGAATATTTAATATTATTTCAGTTTTTAAACAATGCACTAGAATTAACACAAGCTTTGTGTGGTTTCAATTTAGTTAACGAGCAAATTAACTAACGAAGCACATGATTGTTTAGCAGTTTTACTGAGGGATTTGTATTTAATCAAACAACTTTTCCACTCAAATGATTTAAATCCATGACTTTCCTCCTGTAAATCAGTTTAAGGCCACTAGTGCCTTTATGAATTTATCTTGGGTAAATCATCATTTGATTGTTTTAATGTAAACAGTAGTGAAATATGAGCTCACAACACTTTATCACCTGAGCTTGTGCTGCTGTGAACATGTGCTTTGGACAGTTGTGTTTAGAGGTTTTCTTCATATGATATAAAATATCAGCAGTGGGATCAATACTGTCTCACATAAACTTCTTATTTTTAATTAAAAATGTCAGCATTCATGAAACATATTTCTGTTTAAAATGTGCAAACAATCACAAAAATAGTCACCAAAAACTTGATTCATTTCAGCCTGTAATTGACTGAAAATAAATAACTTTTACATCAATTTTTAATCTTAATTTCTGCTGGAATAAAAGAAAAGAGTTGAGTCAGGAGATTTCTATCAGTGCTGATGAGCTTGATTAGCAGCTTCAGGTGTTTTTAATGAGGCTTAAACTGCTCTACAGCTGCAGGATTACACACTCTTCATTTCCTGTCCTCTTGCTGTTTTCATGCAGATGCACAAATCCTCCACAAGTGGGCACAACATTGACACATTGATCAGGCTTTCTTCATTAAATCTTTATTAAATGTGATGTTTGTCTGTAGATTGATGTGTTGATATGATGACCAGTCCTGAGCTTCACATCCTCCTCATCAGAGACACAGAGAAAGATTCAGTCAAACCTGCTACTGGAAGAGAAAAATCAGTCAAACAGTGCTGTAATCTCAAAAAGATGAACAAGTTAAACATGTCTAATATAAGAGGATACAGGGTCAGTATGAAACAGGGTGTGTGTGTGTGTGTATAGTTGGCAAATAAATGTATACAGAGGATGATTAATTTATATTTATGTAGTTTGATTTTTTATGTTTGAGAAAATATCAGGGGTCAGTAACCTTATTAATTTCTTTCACAGTAATTTTTTTCCCTTTTGTCTTTTAGTTGAACTGTACCATAAACATGCCCAATGGTGCAACAAAATAAAAATAAGAAAAACAACTCTTAATAATAGGATTTATCTTAATTGTTGGAATCGTATCTTTAATTAATGCTATTACTATTTTTTTTTCTCCATGACTTTTGAACTTGGACATTTTCAATATATACAGAGCTCAGCATATACGAGTACTCCCCTCACAAATCTGTCTTTTAAATTCATATTTTTAATAGGAAGCTTTACATTATTATATTTGTGCATATACATTAGATTAGTCAATACTGATGCCAAATCTGGAGCTTATCTAACAGAATAACTTACGATAACAGTCCAAAAACTAGCTAACCCAAATTTATGTTATAGAAAAAAAAATGAAATACAAATTTAAAGAGGAAAAATCAAGCGAAGCAAAAAAAAAAAAAAATAAATTAAGACTTTGTTCAAATATTATTGCAATATATAAAATATTAATATTAAATATATATTAAATAAATATTTATTTGCAATATTTTGCTTGAATTGAATTGTTTTCTCTTTCAATTTCTAAATATGTTTGGTGACTAAAATATCATTTTAATAAATATATCTGTTTAATAAATCTGTTTTGTTTAAAAGCATCAAAATACATATCCTATATTCACTGAGAAATTAATAAAACTATTCATTTTCAAAATGGGGTCTATTTAAGCACTGTAGGGGTGTCACAGCAAATGACAACACAATGGAACATACTGTATAGTTAAATATGAAAAAAAGTGAAATATGGAAATACAACAGTTAACACAACAGTTGTTATACACAAAGGAATTCACCTTTTACTTCATTTTAAATGATGACAATACTAATTATATTCATTTTAGTCATGTGTGACTGTGAAAATGCAACGTTATGTTACTTCATATTAAACTAATTTCTGTATTATTTGTTATAATGACAGTGCATCATATTTTATTAGTTATTTATTTTGCAAGATATTAGTATTCTGCTTAAAGTGTCGTTTGAAGGCACTTTATCCAATTCCTTAACCCAACTAGACTTCATTCAGAAAAAAAAAAACTGGAAATGCTATACTAGAAAATATACTATTAAAAAAATTCCAATAAAAAAAAAAAATTATATATATATATATATATATATATATATATATATATATATAAATAAATAATGCATTTGTTTGAGAATTACCCTTTAGACCTTTCAAAATCTGATTAATTGGATATTTAGATCAATAAAATAGTCACCTCTTGTTTATTTGATGTCGTTTATATGGTTACACTCATTGGCCACAAGAGGGAGTTGTGGAGCAGCTGTTTGTCATCTGCCTTGTGCACATTTATCAAATAAAAGACAAGTTTCATTGACAGTCTGAAGTTTCAGCTTGTTTTTGTCACTAACGACTCATCTGTTAGAAAGCACAGAGCATTTTCCCACCTGCTCCTCCAAGCTTCAGGTTCAGTCTGACAAACATGAAAACTCTAGTCTACAACACTTGCAGATTATTTCACTTTATCATTAATTCAGTGCCACAAGAAGAAGAGGTATTACATATTTACATAGTTTTCTGAAAGAGACAGATATATAAAAATATATACATTGACATGAAATGAAATGTTTTCAGATCATTAGGTTTTCAGTGCTTTTTGTTTTGTCGTTCTAAAAGTTTTTCATATGATTTGAAGTCATTCACAAAATGGGAAAAGTTTGGTTTACATTGAGCCCACTTTTTCTTATGTATATGGTGTTTTCCTAATAACACAACACAAATAAAAATCTGTTGTGCTTTACAGTTCAAGTTGTCATTATCAGAATAAAACTACATCAAATAAACTCATTTGAAATAATAAGTTTGAATTTTCCTAAACATGTTTAGCAGGATGAGTTCAGTAGTATTTAGTCAGATTATTGCACTACAGTCCCCGCATATGATGTTACAGTGATGCCACTCAACTGAACACACATACACTAATATCAAGAGTGTCACGCGACTCACCTGTACGTCTAGTTTCCATAAGGTCGTGCAAAATTATTAGCTTAGCACTTTTAAGTACACATTTAAATGTGTACTTATTACTATTTAAGCTTGTAATTGTAAATATAAATATGCCAGCAGCTTGTTTACGTGCTGCTCTCTTGCGGAACTGCCTGCTGAACAGACGTAAAACATTACCTTTTATTATCCACCTGTTACTTACGGAAAGCGTACGGTGCCAAACATCTTGACGAAACGCGTTTTTTGTTGGCAACACGCACTGTCTCTCAGCGGCTATTTGTGACTTTTGAAATGAAAATGAAATGGTGAGAGAAATATAATAGTAAATAAACTATACAGCAAATCTAATCTATTAATTCAGTCAAACTAATAGATAGGGGTAATTTGTAGCCCAACCTTAAGATTGGAAGAGTCTTTTTAAGTGTCACCCATAATTTAAATCTCTGTAGACATGCTAGGGAAAAAGGTGGATAATTATTATAATACATAATAAAAAAATCACGGTTTTCTGCCTTACAAAGATGACTACTAATAAGCAGTATTTGAACAGATTCATGTTATTTTGTGGACCATAAGACAGCGATTTAACAAAAAAACTTGAATGAATTTATTTACAATTATTTAGAAAAAGACTTAATTATTCAGAAATGTATTTTTATGACCTTGCTCTACAGAATAAGGGACGGGAATAGACCAACAGAATCATGTGGACAGACACTGACTCATGGACAGGTAATAATTACGCACGTCGAGTACGATTCGATCCTGGATTAACATCTATTTATTCAAAAATGTAACCCCCTACCCCTAAACCCAACTATAACTGTAAATTATTCCCAAAATCAGAGGGGAATAATAGTTGGATAACAATCTTGTAGATATATAAACCTAATCATAAGCTTGAACTTAAAATAAACGACAAACGTTTCCCTTAATTCTGATTAGCTGATTGGAATGTTGTTTCAGGATCAACACAGATGTTAATCCAGCAACATTTTCGACTTGGTGAAATCAGGCTGGAGAATAATTACAACATTACAGTGCATATTTTATCTTGTAAATGTAATAATGATAACTCTAGTAGATTGCAATGAATGATTATATCACTTATAATGAAATTTTTTTCCAGGCATAAACATAACCACTTCTGAACATCATTCTTATCAAGTCAGTAAGTTGAATAAATAATGTTTTCTTTTTAGGAGGCAGTGAAACCTGCTTGGTTGTTTTCATCACACAGAGCAGATCTTCTGAATTGTAATAGGTATGTGGAGTGTTCTTTGGTAACTTTACAATGTTTTAGGCAACAATAAAAACATTGTGTGCGGAACATGAAGGAAAACATGGCCCTCAGGTTACGCTAAATATCAATTTTTATTCTTAAAAACCATACACGATACTCGACAAGTTTAAAATGTAAGTTGAATCACGATATCCATTTACATTGCGCAAGATAAACAGACATGTTATTTTATTTCCAAACGTTAAGATAAAAAACAAAACAGATCCTTAAAACAGATGGATAAACATTCATTCCCATTATAGGAAGACGCTATAGAAAAAAAAAAAAAAAGAGTTATGGATTGTTTTAATATATCTGCTCTAAATTGCAAACTTAAGCAGTTTCTTTTTATTTAATAAACAGGATAAAACAAAATAACTTAAAAAAAAACTGTGCAGTTGCGATTACTGAAAAAATCTGAATCCCTTTCTCACGTTTTTCTCAATTCTTCTCCTTAATTACATCCTTTATAAACAAACAATTGGAGAGAAGCAACAGTCTTAACTGGAACCCTGCTGCCAAAAATAAATCTAAACATTACAAAAAAAAAAACACACAAAACATTATTATTTTGACCATAAGTTTCATGCTATAAGCCACCCTGAGTATTAGATTACTTGGAGAACCAATCACGACCCTTGTTTAAAGATTGCCCCACCCCCAGTGAATATAATCTATGCAAAAATCCCTGTAGGTCTGGTTCAGCAGGTTGAGATGTTCTTATTTCTGCATAAAAATACAATTTATTTATATGGTCTGTATCAAAACGTTCCTTGGGAATCTGCAATAAAGTACCCTGTGCTGTGATACCAGTGTTATACGCATGTTTTCTTGAAAATTCGTCATGTTAATTCCTTCGCATTTCCAGTATTTCAGGTCTTAAATATACTCTACAAACATTTGCAGCAATGTTTTTTTTTAGCTGACAGCAATTTTTTATGGAATAAGCAGGAAAACAAAAAGTACATCCTTTTTCATTTTCATATGATCAACAAACAAAACACTTGAGGAAATATTATTTTTAAAGAAAAAGAAAAAAAAAAACATGAAACAAATTTTGAAAACAATTCACTCTTTTTCCTTCCTTTATTTTTCCTTTTAAACCAAAACAACAATTTACTACCTAAAAGACAATCTTAAGTTAAAATTTAAATCATTGCATTTTCAATTCAATTATCTAGGTTTTTTCAGCCTGAGTAAACAAACTTATAATACATTGGCAGGAACTTAATGTCATCGTTGAACTGACTGTGGACCATTTCAAATAGTTAAAATCACAGATGCATTCATTCTTTAAAGGCTGAAGTAGCGTGGCCTCCACTTCCAAAAAAAGAAATTTAAATAAAAAATAAAATTCACACCACTGAAAGCGTGAAGACTCCAGCTCCAGCCATTTCCAAATTCCAAACGAGAATGAGACACAAACTTGGAGCTTAAAAAAAGAAAAATAATTCAGGGGGGGGTGAAGTAAGTATGAGAGGAGATGGATGTATGGACAGAGATCCTCGTCTACGGCTCCCTCTCCTCACCCATCCCAAGAAAAAAAACCTCCCATGGACCTCAATACCTCTGCTCACTGCTATACAAGCCTTAGTGTTATCTATTTGGCTAGGAGGTTCTAAGTATCTACAAATATATAACAAATAAAACTTGCAGGCAAAAATAGTTCGGTTTCCATAGAAACACCCTTTTTTTCCTGAAAATACAGCAGTATCTGAAATATTTCTCATTTGTCCCCATTTCTCTGCATCAGGAAGCTCTTCCACCAATCAACAGAAGAAAAAAAAGTATCTACAAACTTTGTAAACAGACCTGTGTCTTCCAAAAAACATAAATATTTCAAAATATTAACAGCCAAAATGATGCAGAAATCAGTGTTTTAATAAGCAAAGGGCAAAAAGAAAAAAAAAAAAAGTACAACACCATCCAGATAAAGAGAAGCGGAAGCTAAGGGCTAAGCTCCCGAGAGCTCCTTGGCTTCGCCACTCTTATCCAATGAGTTCTCCAGGCTTCAGTCTCTGTGGAGATGAACAGGTGTTGTGTGCCGTACCGAGGGCCGGAGTTGATCAAAGGGACGTCTCTAGGCTGTGCATGGGGCTCCCGGGAGCTGAAGGTGTGGCTGATTTGCTGGGATCCAGGAAGAGGTGCACGCCGCTATCGACGGCATTATTGTTCTGATTGGGTGAGGGTGGAGGAGGAGGTGTAGGGGTCGCATTTCTCTTTGTGGGAGCATCGTCCTCCGCGTCCGTGTCGTCGATGAGAGGGATGTGGGGCTCCGAGTCCTCTATCCGGAATTCTGGATGGGTCATGAAGTTGTGGATGGAGGTTCGAGACTCTGGCTTCTCCAGACCCTCATAGGGTGACAGCGAGCTGCGGAATGCATTCACCACCCGGATCTGTGGGAGAACGGGATGTAAAGTCAGCTATGCTGCTCGAAGAAATGCTCTGCTAGTTTGCACACGTCCACAACAGGCAAACTATGTTTTTTTTTTTTAGATAAGGTTAAACCAAATGGGCTGGTTTTAATTGATGAGTGGAGAGCAGTGAGGTTAGCGCACCAAAACCTTCTGAGAGAGTGTGTGAGCGGTCAGATGTCGTGCAACTAAGAGAGAGAAAGAGTGGACGAAACGCTTGAAAACCTGATGCTTGTTACGGTGAGCTTATCCTCTGACCGTGGGACAGACATTCCTCTTTTCTCAGGGTTGAGAAATAACAGATGTACAAAACTGGAAAGAACTTAGGGCACCTTCTCAGTTGTAAATCACAGAAAGCCAATTATATTATCCAAAATGCAAATGAGATAAGAGAGAAAAATGGAACAGAAGAGACAGGAGAAGAGAGAGAAAGAGGCCAAGGTAACCCCAGAGGACACAGCTCAACACATAAGGTTAATATTTTTGGGCATGCGTGTTTTTTTGAAAGGGAAGGGATCGATCATAGATCATGTTGTGAAGTAGAGACGCAAAACTTTAAAGCAGCCAAGCAAGTTTAAGCTAACCAGCACAAGTAAATTCACAAACGGGCTAGAGACTGGACCCATGCAGAGCAGCACTACCTTGTGGTTCATTAGAGGTAAACCTTTGAGTATAGCCCATGACACATTTCACAGAATCTAAGAAGGAATATGCGGCAATCAGCGATTCAAACTCACTTTCCTAACGTCCAATATAAGTCATTGGCAGGAAAATCAAGACTACAATCAAAGACGGTTATGCAAAGTGCATTGAACAGAGAAAAAGGGGACTGTGGACAGCCAGGACCTGATGAAAGATGGAAATATTGATGTGGTTAGAATCGTGCCAAAAGACAAACAGATACAACATGATTCCACCAGCTGCAGACCTTCCCTGTAAAATAACAAAGTTACACCAAAAGAGACAGACAGAAAGAGAGAGAAAAAGAGAATGGTAGACCTGGCACCAAGTAACATGAGACAGAGTGTAAGGAGGAGGAAACTGTTGGGTACAGACAGTAACGCCAATGTCGTAGAATGAGCAAAAACTGACAGAAAAGGTGACGAACAGCAGAACTAGAGAAAGAGAAGAGGAAGTCATTTGCGTCTGAACTACAGAACAACATCCGATATCTCACTTGTCGATGCTACGGACACCCAGCATACTTACCGAGCCTGCACTTTTAAAAAAAGTCTCACCGAACTATACACAAGACCAATTTGGCACGATTGGTCGGGTTATCAGTGTGACCATGGGCGTATACTCAAAACATTTACGCGCAGAAGACTAGGAGCCTGGCGAGCAGGCGCAGGGCTGCAGACACACCAGACGGTATTAGACAACGACTCTTCGTCAGTGAGACCCAGCCAAAGCCATCAAACACAGACACAGATACTTCAACCTTAACACTTAAGATACACAGCCGTTAACATTGAGAAGCAATGTGGAAGATGTTTCGAGATACATTTCATTTCAAACAAGAGAGCGAGAGAGATAGAGAGAAAGAAGGACATTAGGAGAAGAATGAAGACCGTTAGGCGAGAGGAGGAAATGTTAATTGTCATGCACTAATAAACGCGCACTCACACCCGACAGTGGCAGAAGCGGTGTTGAAGGCAGTAGCAGGAGATAAGGCTACATGTGTAGGGCTAGAAACATTGGTTACATCGTGCTGTTGGCTGCCGCTGGAGGGCTGGCGCCTGACGGCCGCCTGAAAGGAAATTCCGCTCTGGAACGCACTCACTACATCCATCTGGAAGGAATCAGAGAGTGTGATAGGCCCAGAGAACGCACAGGAGAGAGAAAGACAGAGAGTCAGAGGAAGAAGAGAAGAGAGAAGAGGAGGGATAGAGGAAGAAGGGCACCCATATAAAGAAGACAGATCAGCTGAGAGAAAGAGAGAGAGAAAAGGCACTGAATTAAAAGAACCTGACCTGACATTTGCCTTTAGAATTGATCAGCTTATTGCTTTGACAAACTGAATTAATAAACCCTCTTCCACCAGTATAAGGTCAGCATAAGTAGTGGATCGATTGGAGGTAGTACTAACTCAAACCATAATCAGAGAAAAGGGAATTCGAAATTAGGTAAGGTGGACATTCAGGATCCTGAGCTTGGCCAGAGGGGAATGCGGAGTTGTGAGGTTTTCGAGAGGTTACCTGGGTCTGAATGCGGTTGAGGCCTCTAAACCAGAGGATCTGCCCCCTGCGGAGCTCTCGCTCGGCGTGGTCAATTTCATCAAGGTCTTCCAGCTCTTCCAACTCCTCATCCGGGATTTCCTCCTTCTGCGTTCCATGACCAGCAGTCTTCAGGAACGTCAGCCGGCTTGTGGGGATCGTGGAGATGACCTGAATGAAAGAGATAGATGGATATCAGGTTGCCATTCCAAATGGGAAAAAAAAACATTCTAGGAGTTCAGTCCGCTGCCACCAGGGGGCACTGCCGGATTGTTATTTGGCAAGTTTGGATTGGTGTATTGAGAGCTGGTTACAGGCATGAAGAAGTTGCTTTTTATACGATAGAGCAGGGGTGCCTAAACTCGGTCTTGGAGGGCCGGTGTCCTACATATTTTAGTTCCAACCCAAATTAAATACACTTCAACTAGCTAATCAAGCTCCTTCTAGGTATACTACAAACTTCCAGGCAGGTGTGTTGACCCAAGTTAGAGCTAAACTAAGCAGGAAACCTGCCCTCAAAGACCGAGGACATCCCTGATATGGCGGAACAGTCAATGCTTACCTGTCCCCAGAGTAGACATCCAAAGCCCAAGAAGATGCACCATAGCCACTGTTCAATGTTTAAACCAACACAGCTGAACGGCTTTCCTCCAAACTGCACGATCACAATCTAAGTAGTAAAAAAGGTCCATTTACTTTGAGTTTATTACGCTAGATCAAATTTAAAGTCTTAATTTGGTTATTGGGCTTCATGCAGAGATTTCTAAGGCTCCCTTTATACCTGAATAACGAATGTCCCAAAGACAATGGTGCAGAAGATCATATTGTTGAAAATGCCTTCAAAGACGTTTCGTTCTCCGTGGATCTTCCGTGCATTAATTTCATTGAACAGCTGCATCATCACAAAGGTGTTGAAGACGATCGTGTAATGCTCAGATGGGGGAGCGTGAAGATCGGCGTAACGTCCACTGTCAATGTTGAACATCTTCTCACCTGAGAGATTAATCGAAAGTACAAATATTAAAGCATTGAAAATAAAATTGTACAGAAGGATAATGCTTTTTGGCACTTTGGCATGCAGTTGATGGGTATTAAACCAAAGAAATGGTGCACAGAAACAAACATATCAAAATATCACACTCACACAAGTGCTTGATTTACTAATGTGCTGTTATTCTTACCAGCAAACAGTAGAGTAAAGATGATGATGAGCTGGTAGACAGCATGACCTAATATGTTTTTCATCATTGTCCTAGAGATGAGCGGTTTATTACGGCCATAAGGCTTCCTCAGCAGAAGAGATTCAGTGGGGGGTTCAGTGGCCAAGGCCAAAGAGGCAAGTGTGTCCATAATGAGATTTACCCATAACATCTGTACAGCTTTTAAAGGAGAGTCCTGGGAGAGACAGAGAGAGAGAGAGAGAGAGAAAAAACAGGAGGTGACTGTTCTGACCTCATTCCCTGTTGCCACCTTCATAACATTCAAGAACACCCTCTCATTTCTGCATTTGCATGAATCCTTTTTAGCTTTTTATGCACGTATTAGGAGAGGAAAATCTGCATAATGAATTTAAACATGAGAATACCGAGCTGAAAAAAATAACACGACAGCACTTTGTGAATGACAAGAGCTGGAATTCTGTTGGAGTTTTGAGTGCGCGGATATCGAGTTGGATTGCTCATGAGCAATATCCAGGGAAAATGATATACAAACCAAGCAGAACACCTGAGGCTTGAAGCCACGTCCTGGCTGCTGACAGCAATGCGAAGCGCAAATGTAATCCTCCCATTCATTATGCAATAATACAGGACCTCAACTGCAATCAACCTGACTATCATTCCATTTACCCGAAGAGAGCTGGCTCATTTTGGACTGGTGCTTTGCCTGTGGACAGTGATGCCAGACCCCATGCTGACTGCCTCCAAGTCTTCCTGCCTCAGACTAACAATTTCCAATCACTTCAGATAGGATGGGTAGCAATCAACTGCTCCCATTGACCACTGCGGTGCATCTGTTAAGTTGCAATCGTTTGCAAAGAGCTGCGCTATTTACCTTAACAGTTGCAGCCCTATTGTGCTTCATGGTAGAGGAGAGCTTTTTATAGACATACCTGTGTGATGCAAGCTCCAGTGAAGGCCACAATCACAGCCACCACGTTGACGGTGAGCTGGAACTGGAGGAATTTTGAAATGCTGTCGTAGACATTTCGCCCCCACATGACGGCCTTGACAATGCTGCTAAAGTTGTCATCAGTGAGGATAATGTCGGAGGCTTCTTTAGCCACGTCAGTGCCGGCTATACCCTGAGAATAAAAAAAACTCACAGTGTAAAAGCCATTCAGACTAAAATGCAATGTTAAAATAACCCACTTAATACAGCTTTTAGTTTTTTTTTGTTTGTTTGTTTTTACTGAGGACAAACAAATTAGGCTAAAAAATGAATTATTTTAGAAGTAATTCAAGTTTTCACTTGTTTCCTTTTCTGTAGCAACTGTAGTTGGACGCACATACCATGGCAAACCCAACATCGGCCTTTTTTAAGGCAGGGCCATCATTGGTGCCGTCTCCTGTTACTGCTACAACCTGTCTCTGCTCCACAACAGTGCTGTCAATTATTCCTGTAAGAAAAAACAATCAGTGTTGAGCTTGTTATTGAAAATAGTAACAAGTTATAGATACTAGTTACTTCATTAAAAAAGTAACTCAATTACTTTATCGATTACTTACACCAAAAAGAAAAGCATTACTGTTAAGACTATTTTTTTAGTTACTTTTCCAAAGAACATTTTTAATGCTCCAAAAGGCTTAATTTGTGCCAGGACACGCCGGATCCGGAACCTCTAAAATCTGACCCAGCACCTCATTTTACCAATCCCCCTACTCACCCGCCCTCCTCCACTGTCCGCTGTTCACTTTCATTTTGTTCCGCGACTAATCAACCCTCTTCACTTTCGTCCGCGACAACCAACCCCCGCCCCGGTTCTTAACATAGTATGCCGGATCCGTTACCCCCATCTGTTCCGGAATCTCGCGATTCACAAATTAAGCACTGATGCTTCCATTAAAGCCCAAATAGTGTCATTAAAGCGCTGCATGGAGAATACACTGTTGATCAACTTCACAGTACTTGTCAGTTATTTTTTAACACAAATTTTTCATACCAGCAGCACAAAAAACAAACAAAAAAAACACACAAGGTGATAAACCAGCTGAATAATATATTCAGAAACAAAAACAGCAAAAACTAAAGTTGCTTCAGCATTATAATAGATTGTTTTTAACCGTTAAACATGTTCCTTCAAAGCTCAAGTATGAAAACTAGCAACAATATACAACCATAAATTAAACCATAAACACTAAATCCTTATGAAACAAATAAATGAAAGTAATCCGAATTATTATTCAGAATCAATTTGATGAAACTCAGCACCAAAAAATTGCTATTATAGACTACAAATTTTATGCATTTTAAACCAAACCAAACAAAAACAAAAATCTATGTGCAATTTTTAAACTAACCACAAATTAAATGTGGTACATCAACAACTTATGGAAAGTAAGTTGTGTATATTCAAAGTGCAAAATCTGCTGTTGTATAACAGCTATAAAAATGTTTAACAAAAAAAAAAATTAGCCAAAATTGATCAACTTACCAAGAAATGGACAAATGCATCATATTGTAATGATAATGGAGTTACTATATTTAAAAAGTAATGCGTTACTTATTAGTTACCGTCAATAGTAAAGCCGTTACAATAACGCATTACTAGTAACATGCGTTAGTGTAACAACATTACTATGCCCAACACTGGTCATAATAAACAGCATGACGTTACATTACAGAGCAGAATTAGACTTTTAAAACAGAACTATTGGCTCATACCTTTAACTAGTGTATGCTTGTCTGTGGGCGAAGATCTCGCCAGGACCCGGAGTTTAGGCCATATTTTGTCTATCCGCTCTTGTTCGATCTGGAAAAAAAAACAATAAAAAACAGGATCGTATCATGAGCTTGTGTGTTTGTGTGAGAAGTCCTGCCATTAATAGATTGTGCCTCTCACCTCTCCCTTTTCATTACGGATGCGGCGGTTGAACTCTTTGCCCTCCAAGCAGAGGAAATCATCTCCTACCTGCAGGATGCCACATTTAGTTGCTATAGCTCGGGCAGTATTAAGGTTGTCCCCTGTGACCATGCGCACCGTGATTCCAGCACGCTGGCACTTTCTAATGGCATCAGGGACCTGAGCAGGAAAGAACAAGTGACCGTGACCGAGAGCTTATTACTTGTACATTGCATTGCATTTCACGCAAGAGAATAACAAGGAAATTTTGTGTACTTCTTCATTTTACTAGGGCTGCAAGTATAGTTGATCATTTATTAATTTGCTACATTTTTCTGTCTCAGAATATTTCGGATTGATAAACTTCAGAAAGATTATTAAGACACATTATAATTCATTACCTACAAAATTATTATTCCATATCCTCCTTTATGTTATTCTCCATAGATTTAGCAAATTAATAAAAATATAGTGAGTCTATCTATCTATCTATCTATCTATCTATCTATCTATCTATCTATCTATCTATCTATCTATCTATCTATCTATCTATCTATCTATCACCATCCCTCCATCTAACCACCCATCCCTCCATCTAACCATCAATGTATCTATCTATCCATCCATCCACCTACCTACCTACCTACCCATCTATCTATTTAACCATCCCTCCATCTAACCATCAATCAATCAATCCATCCATCCATCTACCTCTCTATCCAACCATTCCTCCATCTAACCATCCATCTAACCATCTATCTATCTATCTATCTATCTATCTATCTATCTATCTATCTATCTATCTATCTATCTATCTATCTATCTATCTATCTATCTATCTATCTATCTATCTATCCATCCATCCATCCAACCATCCCTCCATCTAACCATCCGTCCCTCCATCTAACCATCCATCCATCTATCCCTCCATCTAACCATCCATCCATCCCTCCATCTAACCATCCATCCATCCATCCAATCATCCCTCCATCTAACCATCCCTCCCTCCATCTAACCATCAATCCATCTATCTATACCTCCATCTAACCATCAATCCATCTATCTATCCATCCATCCATCCACCTACATACATACCTACCTACCTACCTATCCAACCATTCCTCCATCTAACCATCTATCCATCTATCCCTCCATCTAACCATCAATCCATCTATCCATCCATCCATCTATCTATCCCTCCATCAATCCATCTATCCATCCATCCATCCATCTACCTACATACCCACCAACCTACCTACCAACCATTAAATTGTGCTCCATATGTTTGACTTGCATATACATTAGTACTTCATTGGCAATGAAGCTAGCCACTAGTTTGTGAAGTTTGAAATCTTTAGCAAAACAGAAATATGCGTGACTTTCTAACTTAACCAAGCATTGAGGATAACAAGTCTCAAAGTTATGTCAAAACACATAACGGCACACCATGTTAAACCATATTCTTGAAATGCTTACTACTACTACACATTTGCACATCAGAGAGTTATGTCAATAGAAAAGTGCCATAAAGTGACGTCATTGCTGGACATTTTCCATGCACTATGCACACACGCAAATATAAGAAAGCAGCCAAAATTTTACAAAGCAATTTCTCTATTAAAACACCAACAGCATGTACCTCAGGCCTAACCGGATCTTCAATGCCCACGACACACACACAAGTGAGCCTGGTGAGGATATCGGCCTCATTATCCCAGTCTGGTTCTCCTTCAGAAGCAGGAAAGTCCCTGTAAGCCAGGCAGATGGTCCTCAGGCCCTCAGAGGCCATAGGTTCGATTACTCTCTTCACCATATCATCTCTGTCCCTGGGCCGGAAAACCTTCGCCTCACCCGTCGATGTCAGAATTTTAAAGCACCTGGATGAGAAAAGAGCAACAGATAACTAACAGCACAGAGAAACCAAGCCATCCCAATAATTTCCCCAGGGAAATCTATCAATAACGCAGCCTGGGGGGGTTTAGAGCGAGAGGTGACTCTTTTGATCTGTCATTCAAAGTTTGCTGACACTTCTTTAAAGGAAATGCTCGAATGCTTCAACGGTTACCTTTAAGATTCATAAGTGTCAAGCTATTAAAAAAAATGACCATTTATGACGGCATAGAGGATGACGTACTTCTTCAGCAGAATCTCTGAGGCTCCTTTGCTGAACATCCGGTAGCTTCCGTCATCATTCTTTAGCACGGTGCTCATGGATTTCCTGACGGAGTTGAAGGTGTAGACTTTGTAAAGCTTCTCTTCAGGGATTTCGTTGCGTACTGCTTGATAGTCTTTTTTCAAGTCCAAGGCAAAGCCCAGCAAGGCACATTCAGTTTTGTTGCCCACCTGACGATTCAGGCCTCCCTCCTTCTCAGGGGACTGAAAGAGAGAAGAGTTAAAAACTTACAAAAGATATAATTAAACATTTTGTGGAAGGCTTTCATATTTTTAATAATTTTAATCAAAGTTATTTAAATGCACAGTGGATTAAGGACTACAGTTTTGTCATTTCTATGAATTCTCCTGCAACTGTGTGTACTGCGGGACCTCCAAAAATGCCTGTGTTTTTGCATGGCACTTATGTTGTTGGGAACTACGATACAAAGGAGATTGAAGGAAGAGGCCAACAAAAAACATGTTTAAATTGAGAAAGGATTGAATTAATTTTGAAGTTTGGATTGCAATGAAACATATATTAAAGAAAAGATCCAGCAGAAATGAACAAATCTGTCATCACACTTACAAGCAAGCTTGTCCAGAGCCATGAAAATGGCTATCAATATTTAAAAAGGACATAATGCGCCATGTTGCAAGCTTGGGAGTTTTAATATAATTTTTTATACACTTTATAGCATTTATTAACATTTTGGATTGGCTTTAATGTTTTTTTTTTATTTGAGACAAAACAGTTATTCTTTTAAAGTTTGGTTTTATTAAAGATCAGTTTTATTAAAGGTGTTTATTCAATTATTAAATTGATCAGTATTTATTAAAGATCAGTATAAATACTTTAATACTGATACTACTGGTGTAGTTTAAAGTGAGCAATTACAGAAGGGCATTGTGTAGTAACAGAAAGCTCATGACAATTATTTCATTTGAAAAGCTTTGCAGGCATAATGTTTGTTTAGGTTCTCACCATAATTTTGGTGGTGTAAGCACAGTTGACACTGATGCCCACTATAAGCAGGTCCATGGTGCTGGCAGGGACAACGTCAGGCTCAGGAACTTTCCTGTAGTGCTTGTCAGCAATAAAAACCTGAACTACTGTCATCCGATTCATAGTCAGAGTTCCTGTCTTATCTGAACAGATGGCTGTGGCATTGCCCATGGTTTCGCAGGCGTCAAGATGCCTCACTAAATTATTGTCCTTCATCATTTTCTGAAACACAGAAGCAAAGTGAAACAATTGGTTTGGGATAAGAGGCTGGTAGACAGACACACAAAACAATAAACAGCTTGAATGCAAGATTAAACAGGAATGTCCACTAATCCCCAATTAAACAACATCCAGAAGTGATGCTACTGTATGAGATGAGCGATAATTGCAGTAAAAAATATACATGAATGGAAATAGCAGATCATCTTCATTGGATCAACATATTGTTTGGCTCAACAAACAGGGCTCACTTCTAAGATAGAAGAAGTTAGTCATGAAAAATCGAAACATTAAAACAGAAAAGCGAAGTCATACTTTGACAGAGTAAGCCAATGAGATGGTAACAGCCAGCGGAAGACCCTCAGGAACGGCCACCACCAGTACGGTCACACCAATGATGAAAAACTTAACAAAGAACTGGATGTAGATGGGTATACATCCTGAATCCCAAGGAATCTTATCCACCCAGAAAGTGTCCACCACGAACAGCACCACCAAGATGATCACGGTGATGGCTGACATCAACAAACCTGCGAAAGGACACATACATTAGCACCTCTGGAGCCCACGCTAAATGCATCTGATGTCCCAGCAAAAACCATTACCAGTGTGAGATTGACTGTTAGCCCTCAAGACCTCAGCAAGCCATTTGACAAATGCAGCTTTGTGTCCTGTGCTGACATATTTCCTATTAAAACCCAACATTTTGAAGAGACATCCATTTTTTAATAGCCAAAAGGCTTTAGTAATGCCACAGCCATGAAGACTAGTCAATCACAAGAAGTACCAGGAGGCAGCAGGATTTTATTATTATAGAGAGAATCTGACTGGGTGAGAATCTGTGTAGTGCAGGATGAGTCATCATCAAGTTTTTCCCCCAAGTTGGAGGAAATAAATAGACCAAGTGATAATCCATTTATTACAGGGTTTCTGTGGGTTTCACCAAGTCAAATGCAAGACTTTAAGACCTTTTTAAGACCATGAAGAAGGAAAATCAAGACTTGTATAGGATTTATTTAATGGCCAAGCATCATCAAAAAACTAATTCTAATTAGTTATTTCTAATATTTTGTATTTCTTATATACTTTTAATAACCTGTCACAACTAGCAGACCCTAGCTAGACTGTTATAATATTAGTTATGAATATAGTTTGCCTAAACGTTTTATTGGGATGTATTGTTGGTGATTGGATATGTGTTGGATTGTTTGGGTGGCTTTATATACATTCATTCCTTCGGCTTAGGTCCTTATTTATCAGGGGTCACCACAGCGGAACGAACTGCCAACTATTCTAGCATACGTTTAACACAGCGGTTGCCCTTCCAGCTACAACCCAGTACTAGGAAATTTAGCTTTACATAAACAAGGAAAAATTAAGACCCATTTAAGGACAATATTTCAGTCAATTAAAGACTTTTTATTTAAATTTTTTGGAAATTTTAGACTTCAAGACCCTGCGGACACCCTGTATTAGGAGAACACTAGCGTACAGATGAGCTCTAAGTGACCATAATTACCTGCTTTTCCGATTTGGACCGCCAATTTGGTCAGCTTCCCTTGCAAAACCGATTTCTCTTTCTTTGGCAAGTTGGCTTTTCTCTTCTCCTCGCCATCAGCCCCTTCATCACTGTTTAGAGGCTGCATCTCCATTGCAGCCCCATCCTGGGCTTTTGCTAAAAAGAAAGGGAATGTAATAAAACAATGAACATGTGGTGGGCACAGGAATTCGAGTTCTAATAGATTTAAGTTTCCTCCTTCTGACCATAGGAAGCGTTTTCTAATTAAATTGTGCTTCCCACACAAATATAATTAAGCGACTAGATAAATTAATTAGAATGGTGTCCATAAATGCACAATGATTGTATTATAGTCATAGAAAACACATTGAATAGCCACATGCGAGCCCCACGTGACAGGGTATCCTAGGAGACGTGAAACCTGAGGTGTCCAGCCCATCACTTATCACTACAGGCTATAAAAGAAGACATGTCTGATCTCAAGGCCATCGCTCTGCGTGCTAAAAGTACAGCCTGCCAGTGAGGTGACATCACACAAACAAAGAACTCAGCATGCATGCAATCATACAGACAAGCACGCAGCAGGGCATCTCCGTCGATCTCTGCTCAAACGTGAGGCAGTCGGCTTGTGTGCAGGATTTAATGGGTGCGTGATGTGAGGTAATGCGACTGCGTCTGAAAATTAGCAGGGGGCGACGTGGAACTGCTATTCTACTTTGCAGTGTTGCCGCGCTCTGAGCACAGAGCCGTAATCCTCTGCTGGATTAGAGCTCATTTCTGGCAGGGCAAACTGTAGCCAGGGATTCAATAAACATACGTGCATGCTACTTTTAGAGTAAAGAAGTAAGGCTTCGGAACCCGTTTCAGACTGAATGTGGACTCTGTCCTGCTTGGGTATGTGATTTTAGATAATAAAAAAGACAATCTGAACTCTAGCTGTACACTAAACATTAGGGGTGAGTAGTATTTTTTAAAGGCATTAAGTCAAAATACAAAGGAACAACAATGCTGTGAAATATTAGCACATTGAATAATTTTCTTTTTTCAATTTAAATGTTTAAAAATAATAATTTGATGTCAAAGCTAAATTCTCCACACCAGGGATGTTCATAATAACAAATTCATCGTTAACCGAAAGGTACTGATTAACTGTATCAGTTAAACATTTATTTTATTTATTTATTTTAAATGGTATGCATAAATGTGCAACACATATTTGTTAACTCGCAGGACGGTAACACATGCAACCACAAGCGCCTACAGACATATTTTGCCAAAGAAGCAAAATGAAAGAAGAATATTGCTGGTCACAGTTTGACACAGACAAGTTGATGCCAAACCAGCGCTGATGCTGATGGCCTGTGTCCTGGAGCCGTGTCATAATCACTTCTGTTTATTTGCACAAATAGAGAAAGAAGCAGCAAAACAAAACTTTCTGAAATGTGAGCTGCTTTGGAAACAAGCTGGCCACAAGTACGAGCGTCAAGATTCCTTCCATCAGAGCGCACTCTGGCACCGCTCATAAACACAATAAATAGGCTATAATTTTGATGATTTAGTGTACAAACCAAGCTTTTTTTTCCATTTGGAAAATTACAGTTATTATTGGTGCTTATAAAATATCAATTCTTAAAATAGCCTACATAATCTGCGAATCAAACAAATCCAAAGATTTTCTTAATTGTTGAACTACTCACCAAACAGAGGCTTTCATTTTATAGGTTATAAAACATGTATGCAAATTATGCAATATCATATGCAAACAACAAAATTGTTATATCTTATAGCAGCTTATACTTTACAAAAAGTTAACATATGAGTCTTGTCATTGTCTTTTATCACACACAGTGTGCGCACATGAACCGAAAGTGAGAGAGGAAATAAAAGCACACAAGCTTTGAGGTAAAACCAGACGCTCAACACATAATTTTTAAAATAATGACGTCTATTAAAAATGTTGACAGAGGTTTATGATACAAGAATAACAGCAGAGCATTATTTGATGCATATTTTCCGTAGAACGATCGGAACGAGATTTGAGGCTGTTTTTATTTGACTGAGAAAAAAAAACATATGATGGGTGTTTTCATTTTGTAATCTAAAGTTGTCATTTAAGTAACAAATATTTAGGGCGTATTCAGGCCTATTTATTTTATTCTTTTTATTTAGTCTGTTGTTTTTTTCTATGCTGGTGGAAACACTGAATGTGTGTGTTGTTAATATGTTCGCATGTTAAAATAAATCAGTTCTTTAAAGAGCAATATTTAATGTTTCAGACACAAACTAGACACGGAAATTAAAAAATATATACATTTAATAATAATTAATATTAATCTAACCAGTTAACGGTTAATATTTGGTTATCAAGCGGCGGTTGTTATTTGGCCAAATTTAACCGAAATGAGCATCCTTACTCCACAAAAGACTATAGAATTCACAAGACGTGTCACTCTTATAGTTTTGAATAAGGAAAAGCGTAACGGTCTATATGCCGAATGAAGCCCCGCCTTCTAGTACAGAAGCCAATAAGCAATCGCTACAGACTGGCTGAGTCTCGGGAGGGGGCGCACAAACCAGACGTAAATTTCTGCAGATTTTGTGCGATTCAAACATTTAGAAATGAAACTAATGAGACAGTTGTAGTTTAATTCTACTGTTAATTCCTAATGTGAAATTTAACAGAATGCCCGAGTATACTGCCTGAGAGGCGTTTTAAATATGGCCACCGAGTGAAAAGACTTGACCTAAGGGGACTTTGACTCCACATAAAATAAGTAATGGTTTGAATTGTTAGAAATATTTAAATATTTAAATATATTTAAATATACATATACATATACATATATATATATATATATATATATATATATATATATATATATATATATATATATATATATATATATATATATATATATATATATATATATATATATTTTTTTTTTAAGTAACTAATTCCTATTATTGCAAAGCTAGATTTTCAGCAGCAAGTTCTCCAGTTTTCACAAGATCCTTATTATTTGATGCAAATTTTATATTATTTTTAAATGTTGAAATAGCTGAATATAAGAATTCTTTAAATGATAAAGTCTGTTTTTGAATCATATATCATGTAAAATGCCTTTACTACTAACCTCAAAGTTTTGAAGGGTACTGCAATCCGCTAATTCATGCTAACGCGTCAACACTACACACCTGCACACTTCTTTGCACCCACACTAGTGTGGATAAGCTTTAATGAAGATCCAATAGCACTAATGGGTTAAGGCGATGGTTTTAATGCAGGCGGCAGCATGTAAGAGGGTGGCCTGCTAAGCCAATATGGTGTTCATTATGTCATTAAGTCAATAGGGTTACTCACCTTTCTTTCGGTTCTCCACAGAGCCATCCTGCTTTTTATCTGCAGAGAGAGTAAAAGAAAAGCCACATAACAAACACTCATTAATTTATTCATTATTCGCCATTATGCAAGCAACGGTTTTGGGGCGCACATTTAAACATATTTACAATTATGCAAATCTTCTCTTTGATTTAACAGAATGGGAAAAGGCCCTAGAATATTTACGAACAGATGTGTGCCAAGACCTCATGAGGCTTGCAAATCCACTGCATTGGCTAAAGCATGAATGCAAAATAATTTGTAATGAGGTGCACAGTCGCTGAACAGCAACTTGCGGCCCAACCTCTAAAAGTGCTGAAATATTCATGCATCTGCAGGCACTCATTTGGAGACCCAACACGTGAGCCACGGGCAGCAGAAATGCATTAAATGGCAGTTAGTTATTGGAGCGCAGAAGAAATCGTTAGAATTTTCTATGAGTCACTGCTTCAGACATTTTATACCAAACTGAAAAATAAAGCTATATTTAAAAAATATATATAAAAATCCAACAAAAGCAGGAACACAGCAACCTATTCAATCCATGTCTGCAGCTGCACGCTGAAAAGGCCACTGGTTGGTCTGTTTTATTTTCCGAGACGCATTAAAAAGACTTCAAATAACAGGCATGACTTACTTTTCTTCTCTTTCTTTCGCTCCTTTTCTTTTTTCTTCTCTTTCTCTTCCTCATCATCGTCGTCTTCTCCTGCCCCCAATAATGTGAAGATGATTCCAGTTTGGGAATTGACTCCGACAGCAGTGACCACGATTTTTCCAGAGCCCTCCATGACGTGTGTACCTGGACAAATCAATATGAGGAGAATAAGACCTGGACCAAACCCTTACCATTGATTTTCGTTGTCTGAGTGTTGATATTCACACAAGTTCCGCCATAGTCAGTAACAGATCAGTGACATTTTGTCCACAACGTAAGGGTGGAAGCCCTCACAGGTTTTATTGCATCTTAGGGTTGAGGAAGGGGTCCATGAAAAAAAAAAAACAGTAGACTCAACATGCTAACTCTTGGTCTTCTGGAGAAGTGCCCACTCAGGCTCACAAATCCCCCGTCATCTCCTCTGGGACACACACAGCAATGTCATTCTAGCAGAGGATCAACTGGCTTTCATTAAATGAGATTAGCAGAAGATGTGCAAAAGCCACGCTGAGAGGGAGCAGGTCCTGCATGACCAACATCTGACCTGATCTTCCAACTGGACTACAAACTTTTAAAAAAGGATTTCAACTTGAGCACTCATGTAACACAAATCATGGACAGCATTATTTGTTATATTTAATGCATTATTAAAAAGGGATGTTTCTTTCTGACAAACACAGGGCCAAGGAAGCCGAGGAGTCTATCATCGTTTATAGATCAATACCAACTTTTATGGGGTATATGCCGAAGCATGCTAATAGGACTTTTAATTTGCCATTAACCTGGGTTAAGCGCTTCCGGCGAATTGAATGCCAATGCAAAATCCGGTGCGTTTAAGGTCTGTTTTCTTTAAAAATCAGCGATCTCCACTAGCTGAGTGATATCCAATTTAAAGTGGGTCTCAGATTGTACAAGAAGCACTGCATTAAATTACATTTCCCCCGCCATGTCTTTATTTTATGAGCATTTGTTTTACCCCAGTATATTCAATGGAGCTTCTGCGTTAGCCTGCCGACTCTGACGGGCGCGTGCGAGTAAACGTCTTTTTGTCTCGTTTTACGCTTGAGCAACTAAATAAATGCTAAAGTTTATTTAACTGAATGTATTTTAATGACATTATAACATCGATGCTGTATAAGGAACCGTCTAAAATGAGAAAAAGTTCACAATAACAGGTCACCGGAAGTGTATCAGCATGGGAACAGCACTAGCTCGGCATATACCCTATTAGCCCTGTTAAGACTAGCCAAGAAAACTGTTGATCTCGATAACAGGAGATACCAAAATACAAATAAAATGAACTATTCTCATTTTAAACTATGGAGATCAAATCTACCATACACATTCCAAGAACTTTGTTTTGTTAATCATCAGTTTTCAAATCACTCAATCAATGCAGTTACTCTGGCATATCTTTTACAAGACAGATTAAGCTGCAACCAATCACTAAAGTACACTTACTCGTTAAACACGCTCTCAATTACACACTCAAACACTATGGGCATTTTAGTTTATTCAATTCACCAATACTGCATATCTTTGAACTGTGGGGGAAACCCATGCGAGCACAGGAGGAACAGGTAATCTCCACACAAAAAGACTTGGCACTTCTAGACTCAAACCAGTGACCTTTTAACTGCGAGGTAACAGTGCTAACCACTGAGCCACCATGCCACTGTTTTCAAATAACTACTTGCATTATGCTCCTCTTTCAATAAGCAGAATTAATAAAACAGAAATGCAATCTAATTACACACAAGTAAGGTCTTTCAAGACTAAGAAACTTCTTCCTACTCCAGCTGACCAAGCCAGTCAGGAGGTGTAACCTCTGTAGAAGTTAAAGTCCGCTTCTTCAAACTACTTCCAACAGGTTTTCTGCAGGTTTCACCAAGTCAAATGTAAGGCATGTTAAGACAATGAAGTATGAAAATTTAGACTTGTATAGGGCTAAACGCTTAGGATTTTTAATGGCCCACCAGAAAAAAAAATCTTAGTCATTTCTTGGCCACATACAGTATTTTAAATAACGTGTCAAAAGAAGCAGACCTTAGTTGTATACACACATTTTTGTTCAACATAACTTAAAAAAACTCTTTAAAAACGAAATGTTTGCCCAACAGACTACTTATAGTATACTATACAGTTATAATATTAGTTATCAGTAGTTTTGCTAAAAGTTTTATTGAGATGTGTTGTTGGTGGTTGGACGTGTTTTGGATTGATTGAGTAGCTTTACGAACAAAGGAAAATTAAGACCCGTTTAAAATTATTTAAGACCTACAAGACAATATTTCAGTCAATTTAAGACTTTAAGGCCTAAAATTGTGTTTTTAAAAATTTAAGACATTAAGACTTTAAGACCCCACAGATACCCTGTTCGAAGCATCACCCTTATTTCACAGAGTCAGAACACCATCAGTGAAGTTGGTCTTTCTTCTTTTCAACAGGGAAGAGGCAGTGTGAACTTTTACAACTACCTTTTTCATTCGAGAATCACCAGCTGCAGGAAAACCAACTCAACATTCTTCTTGCAGCATCTGGATGCTTATTCCATGACTAAAGGCAATGCAAGTATACAAACAAAACCTTTACCAAACATCGGTTTTAGGTTAAGCTGTTGACCCCCTGTTTCCAAAGTGCATTACATTAAGAAACAGTTTCCTCAGGACAGGCAGTACCTCCCTCTTACATTTCCAAAAATTTCATACTTTAGTTGTGATTTTTTAATTTCATCCATTCACCCTTACTTTGTGCTTACCAATGTACGTTTAATTGTGTAAGGTTAGAGTAATTATTCTATTTACAAAATAGTCAAGTTTAATAGCTTTTATTCAACGCTAGAGGCAAAGTCACTATCACAAGCCAAGCGCTATACAAATAAGCTTAAATTAAAATGAATTGGACATGCTCTAATGCATTAGTACTGCAGGAAAGTTATTTGCTATGGCCATCAAAATAACATTTCTTAGAGCTGATATTAAATTAAACTGAATATTTTTGCTAGTCAATTGGTTTATACAGTGACATCTGAAATACATATTTATTATGACTACCATTATACATTATATTTATTTATAAAAATTTGCCTTGCAGTTATGGTTGATTGTATCCAAGGCTGATTTACATGATAAAAAAAAAACAAGTAAAACAGTGTTGTTGTGAAATACTATTGTAATTAAAAACAAACTTACTCCTGTGACGGCAAAGCCAAATTTTACTACATGATCTACATAGTCTTTAAGCAATTATTGAAATTGGCTGATATGGTGCACGAGAAACATTTTGTATAAATGTTGTAAACTGTTGTGCATCTTCATGTCCCACCTGACAGCAGCATGGCATCTTTGTCCAATGATTTCTTGACATGATCAGACTCTCCGGTTAAAGAGCTCTCGTCTATTTTGAGGTCGTTGCCCTGGATGAGAATGCCGTCAGCGGGCAGGAGGTCGCCTGACGAATAAGACATCCAGTCACTATACACATTTCCATCAGCAGCATTTAAATTGCATAGCTATTTTACAGCGACTAGGGCTGGGCAATACGACAAAAATCTCATATCAGGATACAAGTCATCTCATATCCTGATAATGATACAGACCATTTTCAATGTGGTCATGTTATTGGCCCATGAAAATTTCCTGCTTGTTATCAAACTATTTCATAACTGTAACAAGAGGCATTTTTATATCATAATTTAATGTTAAATCATAACATTATTTATCAATATGTGGGGTTCTTGTAAGCTATAGTAATTAAAAATGTAAAACAGGAAATACGTTTGTGTTTACATCCCTCAAAATGGCCTATATAAAAATCACAATATAGTAATTATTCTGCAAATCAATTAATAGTTTCTATACATGTACTGTTTCCTGTTTTACATTTTAAAGTATAAACTTATATATAATATATAACTATATAATGTAGATCTAAAAAAAGATTGATTACAGGGCAAAAGATAAAATATTGCAAGCTAAAATTCAAAATGTAAACATTGTACTCTCAAGCTTGCAACTTTCTCGTTATTCGCTCTGCCTGCATCCCTGTGGAGGAGTTTAAGACTGGGTTTTTCCAAAGGGGCGAAAAAGTATTACCATAAACCTGTGTTTCCCAACCCTTTTCCTGAAGGCACACCAACACATTTGCAAACTCTTCCTAATCAAACACATCTGAATCAACTCATCAAAACAATAGAAGAGACTTTAAAACCTGATTTAATGGGTCAGATAAGAGAGATATCCAAAATATGTACTGTTGGTGTGCCTTTAGGAACAGGGTTGGGAAACACAGCCATAAACAATGTATTTTGCGACACCAAGAAATAAACAATATATGAAACTATATACTATTTCACCACACGTCATATTGCAAAGCCCTACTCGTTACCCAACCATCAAACTTGTACAGTTTAATTTCTTTTTTAAACATTATAATTCAAAAATCTCATTATCTTAAAAAGAAAATCTCAATCTTACCATATTTTATTTGTGCAATGTCCCCGACGACAATCTCGGCCACATGGATCTGAATGACTTGCCCTCCACGAACCACCGAAAACTTCTGCTCTTGTTCAATGCGGCTCTGTAAGCCACGGAACTGCTTCTCTTTACTCCAGTCATTAAACGCAGTCACGAGCACCACACAAACAACAGAAAGCAGGATAGCTGCACCTTCTATCCACCCTGTCTCTCCTTCTTCCTCAGGTTCTCCACCCGTTCCCTTCACACAATCTACACATACACAAACACGCACACAAAAAAAAAACTCAGCTCAGAACAACCTAAAACTGAGAGGATAAACAATAAATAAGGTAGAAGGAAATAAACAGGTTACTTACTTTTATCTCCTGCATCTGGAGGTTTATAAAAAGAAAGGCCTAAAGAAACTATTGCTGCCACTTCCAAAATAATCAATGTTACATCCTGCAATGCTTCCCATACTAACTGAAGAAAGGTTTTTGGCTTTTTCGGAGGTATAAAGTTCTGTCCAAATGCTGCTTTTCTTTTTTCAATATCTGAGGGCTGCCCACTTAAACCTGGAAGGAAAAAGGAAGTGAAAAGGCAACAATTAATCGTTCAATTATATACTGATTAGGACAAGAAATTACGTTTCATGCTATTGAATGCAATCTTTTTTTTTTTTTTTTTGATTAGAAAATCTATTATTTTCATCCAATGCAGCATTAAATGCAAGTCTGGACCACAAAACCAGTACTAAGTGGCGGAGGTACACTACTGTTCAAAAGTCGATTGGGGTCAGTAGGATTTTGAAATGTTTTTAAATAAGCTTCTCCTGCTCACCAAGGCTGCATTTATTTCATTAAAAATACAGTGTAAACTGTGAAATAATATTGCACTATAAAATAACTGTTCAAGAGTAGTTTATAATTTAACTGAATAATTGATTCTAGTGATTTTGAAGATGAATTTTCAGCTTCATTACTCCAGTCTTCAGAGACACATGATCCTTCAGAAATCACTCTAATATTATTATTATTATATCTGTTAATAGTAATAAAAACAATAATGACTGGAGTAATTATTTCATTAAAAAATACATATAATATGAAAGCAGTTATTTAAAATTGTAAAAAATATTTACCAATTTAACAATTTTTATACATTTCATAAATGCCGTCTTGATGAACACACACACAAGGCTGCATTTGTTTAATTCAAATACAGAACAAATTGTAAAATTGTTAAATGCTATAAAACAACTGTTCAAAAACAATTTATAATTTAACTGAATAATTTATTCCAGTGATTTTAAAGATGAATTTTCAGCTACATTTTGATCCTTCAGAAATTACTCTAATATTAATAATGACTATTATTATTATAATTATTAATGATAATAAAAGCAACACTGACTGGAGTAATAATTTCATTTGAAACTATATACAATAAGAAAGCAGTTATTTAAAATTATAGTAAATATAAAAAAAAATATATATATATATATATTTTTAATAAATGCCACCCTGATGGCAAAATTTAATTTTATGCCAATAATCATTGGAATATTAAGTGAAGATCATCTTCCATGAAGACATTTAGTAACTTTCCTTGCGTAAATATACCAAAAATATTTTTCTATTTGTTAAATGTACTTTAAAAGTGACTTTTTGAATATTCAGACATTTTTTGAATCCTCATATTTCAAATATCTAGGCCAAATTTATTGTCCTATCCTAACAAACCAATGCTAACCCCATTTATCATAGATTTCAATAAAAAATAAATAAATAAAAAAACCTGACCCTTATCACTGGTTTTGTGATTTTTGGTCAGAAATACAGTAAAACAACAATACCAATATTTTTTACATTTCACAAGAAGAAAGTACACTCACTGGATGACTCTAAAATCTACAAGGGTGTGTTACCTATATTCCCTTCTTAACAGGTCAAAAATCCAGTATGCCCTACGTTCAAGTGAAACATCATTGGTCTTTGTCAAACTTATCATTGGTTCGAACTGAAATAGGGAAGTAAGCCTTTAGTCATGCCGCCCCCTCATCCTGGATTACTCTTCAGTCTGAACCAAAAATGTCTGAGCTCATTCAGATTAAATCATTTTGCTCTACCCTTTACAACATACAATAGCAGTCTATTTCTCAATGTGTGTATTTTTAACATATTGTAATGTGGTGTAGCTGAAGAACTAAACTATTTTTATATTATGTTTACTCTTGATCTTGGTTTGTTATCTAGTTAATTATATATATATATATATATATATATATATATATATATATATATATATATATATATATTAGGCATGGGAAAAGTCAAGGTTTTAGGACAACAGTATCTTCGGCAGAAAAGATATCAAAATATGCCGTTTTAGATTGCAAAAAAAAAACATCTGCAGTTTTGAAACAAATGAAGAGAGCAGAAGTCAATGATGTATTTGAGTTATTTAGACTGGCATGTTTCCGAAATAAGTTAAATGTTTCTTAAAATAAAATATATCGTGTTCAAAGGGGATTTTTTTTATTTTATTTTTATCTAGAAATTTAAAAAAATACATATTTTAGAGCAGTAATTACAATACCGTGAAACAGTGATTTTTATCCAAGGTTATACCATCAGAATTTTATACCGCCCTATTTCTAATATATAAATAAAAATGTTTTCTATTTTAATTTATTTAGATCCTTAGATAAACGGAAACACCTGCATTAGTTTAAAATCGAAGTCTTTCATCATTATAAATGTCTTTCCTGTCACCTTTAAACCAACTGAAATTGAAAATGCTAATGAATTTAGAATCATAATGACCCTAAACTTCTAAATGTTGGTGATCATCATTATTTCTTCATGATATAAAATTATTTATCCAATTCTTTTACAATTTACACTAATAACTACTAAAGTAACAGTAATGCCCGTCTACAAATATCTGACAGAACTGGTACCCCATTTATTGCCTTATCTTTCCAGTTCTAAGCTAATATCGTGTTGACAAAAATAATTACATTTACACAAAGGCTTACACTGTTGTGTATTTAATTGATTACGAGCTATTAGCAAAGCTAATCCAATAATCCAGGCAGTACATAAACTACTAAGTGTGTGTGGGATTTTTAGATCCTAAGAGAAAAGTCAGTCCAAATGTCAAACTGACAGGACAAAAACAAACATTTTTGCCACTGTACGCTGTCATTCTCAGGAATAATTCAAATGCACTGGTTTAACAACAGTCCTCTGGTTTGCCCATTTGAATGACTCTCAATATTCAAAGAAGTCATGGTGTGTGCGTTCGGTTCACTCAAACCAGCCACATGTTAAGAGACAAAGACAGGACAGCTACATGTGGTGAATGAGCCGTGCTCATTGACGAAAAGCATGCATGTGTGTGCGTGAGTTTGTGCATCAGGATGAATGTGTATGTGTGACTGAACAGGATGCTTTGCCTGCCAGACCAGAGAGCAGCCTGGTCAGCAGAGCCTATTGTCATGACAACATCCTCCACATTACTCAGCAAAGCCATAGAGCCACTCGCTCCCATTGAGCTGAAGGTTTCACTGCATATAAACACTCATCACAAACAAATGGGCTAAAGAATTAAGCTGCTTTTGATCACTGTCTGAACATCTGCGCGGTCTACTAGGCCTGTCACAATTATCAATATATCGACATATTCTAAAAGACATGGACAGGACCTCAATTTTTGGTAATGCAATATATATCGCCCATACATAAAAATAAAACATTTCTACCAACATTTTTACTGATTAAACAACCTCTATCTCTATTGGCAGCACAGTGTCGATATGGTAAAAAAAAACAATAGTATTTACTATAAATTACTATAGAATATTTGTGTGTGTCTGGTAGCGGATATCGCAGCTTCTGTCATTATACTTTTTTTTTTTACCACTTTTTTGTTAACATTAATTATTATTTATTTGTTTATGATATACATTTTCAGGTTCTGATTCCAATGCTGAATTAATAAAATGACTATAATTAAATGAAATGGTCTTTGAAAGAAAGTGCTTGCATTATGATGCTATTACATTGTCATTCTGGGATTATGAGTGACAAAGTGGTTATAAAATGACAATAATATTGTTTAAACACAATATTTTGGTGCAATATATCGTACAAAAAAATAGATATCGTGACAGGCCTACGGTCTACAACATTAATTTGACACCTAATTCTCCTGAAACAACTATTAAAGTACATATTTTATCAGTTTATTACTACGCAATTGCATCAAACAACAGTTTGAGCTATAGAAATGCCCATATATTCCACTGTTTAAGTCAATATGAATAAAAGTGGCAGCAAAAACCTAAAATTAGTCTTAACGGGTCTATAACTTGCCAAATGACCAGGGAATAAGCAAGATAATAAACGTCTTGCTGTCCGTTAAAGGATTTTTAAATGCATTTTGCATCAGTCGGTTCTCTGCCTCCACATCTTGCATTTAAAATCCTTTAACGACGCGGAAATCCATTGATTATCCCTTACATATATTGATTCACTTCCTGAGACTCAAATCTATAACCACCCCATTACTAGCTGCAGTGTAAAAAATAAGAATGATAGAAACTGAACACTTCAGAATTTCCTGTTGATTTACTTGTTAATTAACCTTTTTACTGCAATTTTGAAGCTCTACGTTTACTAAAAGAAAATAATTATGCAACAAACAATATGGATAGACTTACAGATTCGCTTATATATTTTTGTTAATCCAGCCCTTTCTAATTTAGTCTACACTTTTGGACAATCTGGACAACTTTGTGATTGTTATATAGATAAAAAAGTTGCGTAGTGGCAAATGGTACACTGTACACGTTCACACTATACAGCATAGTATATGTATGTTGTGTCATTCTAAATGGAACACTGTTTTTTTAATAAGCGGAAATTCAAACCGTTTCCCTGATGACGTTCGACAGTTGCCAAATTAGCGAAATAAATGACCAAAGTACCAAACAATACCTGTCATGAGTATGACCGCATTCACCATCCAAAGGTGGTATAATCACTCTCATAGCAGAATTTTGCTTTCACAATCCAAAATAAATAAAGTAATCCAACATGAGCGCCTGAAAGCTCCGCCCCTTCCGCAATGTGAGCAAAGCAGTGGCTGTCGAGTGCGTGAAGTGTCCAACAGTCCACACATCATTTTACCAGTTGAATAAATATACCAGTATTAATAATTGCATCATCCGGGTATTTCAGTGTAAACTAGTAGAAAAGTGCATAAGTACGCGATTTGGGACGCACCTCAAGTCTTTTATTGGCTGTCATGCAGCATTCAGTCTATAAAATGTGACGCGTGCTTTAAATAGCATTTAGATCAAAAATGACATCCTCTAGCGATAACATGCATCCATAAATCACCAGGGTCAATTTTTCTGGTGTTTGAGGAAATGAAGCACACTGTAGCGTATGTGCCGATGCAAATCAATACTTGTCTATGAAAGCAAAGCAGATAAACGCTCAAAACTTCTTCCTGTTTCAATGCCAGTGCATTAAATCCAGGCTTGTGTAGTGTGGAAATTGAGGCT